ATGCCTGTCTGAAATGATACATTGATTGTGCCTGTTGGTACCCACAGGGAGTAGCTCATTAACTTGTCTCAGAAACCATATCCATGATTCGTTGCACTCTGACTCAACTATAGCAAAGGCAAGTGAAAATAGACCATTATTAGCATCCATACCGATCGCAGTTAAAAATGTCCCTCGATATTTACCGAGCAGGAATGTGCCATCAAGACAAAGAACTGTCTGACAATAATTCCACCCAGTAATAGAAGGACCAAATGCCCAAAATAGTCTTTGAAACATATTTGTTTGTGTGCTTTGAATTATATATATCGTTCCTGGCATTGTAGAGGCAACAACATCCATGAACAAATTAAGAGTACGATAAGACTCCTCCCAACTGCCAAAAACAACTTTAATAGCCTTCCTCCGAGCATCCCAAGCCTTCATGTATGACCCTTTAATATTGAACTTTGATTCCATACGACCAATTATCTCCCTTGGCTTTAAGTCCATCTGCTTTCTAATTGTTGGTATAATGTAGAAACTTATAAACTGTGAGTTGAACTGACTGTGGCCACTTTCGAGAATTGGAGACACACATGTATGTTGGTTCTTTATAGATGAGATTTTTCATATACCGCCTAAGCGTTTACTCTAAGCAGAATGAAATCGTCATATGCAAGGATATACCGGGCAATCATGCTTTGCACAAACAACTGTAAATTTTTTTGTATTCGATGCGATGACAATATATTGCACATTATTTTTAATTGCTCAACCTTGTAATGCAAATTGCATATCAGTCTTTCTTGTGAAGCACATTCCTTCAATTAAGTTGTTAGGAATCGAAAATTCATCCCCTATTATCACCGCATCATAAACATCATCAAAGTCAACTTCTTGATCCCATTGTTGTGTTGTCATACAAGTCTCAGCGTAGTTATTATTTGCCACCATTGTATCCTGACTGCCGACTGATCTAGAACAGTAATCTTGGATAATATTTTTAATTTCCTCATTATCAACTGTCCAGCGTAAAATTTGTCGAACAAAATGGCATTCATACAACAACAACAACATCAAGCCTTTATCCCACTACGTGGGGTCGGCTACATGAATCCTTTTTCTCCATTGTGTCCTATTAAAAGTCAAATTCTCGTTTAAATCTAATAAAGAAAGGTCATTCCTAATATTTTCTAACCAAGTCTTTTTAGGTTTACCCCTACCTTTCTTAACATAAGTCAAATCTAATACCTCTACTCTCTTAACTGGGTCGTCGGAAGGCCGCCTTTTTATGTGACAAAACCATCTAAGGCGACTTTCTCTAATCTTATCTTCTACTGGAGCTACTCCAACCTTTTCATGTATATGCTCATTTCGTATCTTATCTCTAAGGGTAAAGCCACTCATCCACCTGAGCATCCTCATCTCTGTCACACTTAACTTAGTATTATGCTTCTCTTTTAAAGGCCAACATTCGGCACCATAAATCATTGCAGGCCTCACTACCATCTTATAGAATTTTCCCTTAAGTTTGAGGGGTACATTTCTATCACATAACAAGCCCGATGCATTCCTCCACTTCAACCATCCAACTTGAATTCTGCTGATAATATCCCCATCTATTTCACCATCACTTTGAACAATTGATCCAAGATATCTAAAACGTGTACTCTTATTAATGACTTGATCGCCCAAAGTCACAATCCCTTCAGTAGGTCTATTACTACTAAAATTACACTCCATATATTTCGTTTTAGATCTACTCAAGCGAAAATCTTTAGACTCTAAGGTTGACCTCCATAATTCAAGTTTACCTTCAACTCCCTCTCTAGTCTTATCAACAAGAAGAATATCATCAGCAAAAAGCATACACCAAGGTACATCCTCTTGCAAATGTCTAGTGAGAACATCCATGACTAAAGCAAAAAGATATGGGCTTAAGGCTGATCCTTGATGTAACCCAACCGAAATAGGGAAATACTTGGTCAATCCACCTTGTGTTTGAACACATGTAATAGCTCCTGCATACATATCTTTAATGATTTGAATATAAGCATTATTGACTCCTTTCTTTTCAAGAACTCTCCATAGCACTTCTCTTGGAACTTTATCATATGCTTTTTCTAAATCAATAAATATCATATGTAGATCCTCCTTATTTTCTCTATATTTCTCCATCAAACCTCTTAATAAATGTATGGCTTCCATAGTCGACCTACCCGGCATGAATCCAAATTGATTTTGAGAAACATTAGTATCATGCCGCAACCTATGCTCCATAACTCGCTCCCATAGTTTTAAAGTATGACATATTAACTTAATACCTCTATAATTCGCACAATCTTGTACATCACCTTTATTCTTAAAAATAGGAATTAACACACTCATTCTCCACTCATCTGGCATCTTTTTAGTCTTCAAAATAGTATTAAAAAGTTTAGTAAGCCATGAAATTCCTTCATCTCCTAAGCATTTCCACACCTCTATTGGAATATCATCAGGTCCAACAGCTTTTCCACCCTTCATTTTCTTTAAAGCCTCTCTAACTTCAGTTTTACTAATACGCCGATAAAAACAGAAATCTTTTTTTTTCATTTAGGGTGCTAAGGTCACTATAGTCAATCTTATTTTCACAATCTTCATTAAAAAGTTTAGCAAAATATCTCATCCATCTTTGTTGAATATCATCTTCTAAGAAAAGTATTTTTTGATCTTCATCTTTAATACACTTCACTTGAACTAAATTCTTACTACTCCTATCTCTTTGTTTGGCTAACTTATACATATATCTTTCTCCCTCTTTAGTATCTAATCTATTATATAAATCACTAAAAGCTAACGCCTTTGCATCGTATATTACTTTTTTAGCATCCTTACGAGCCACTTTATATATTTCCCAATTATCAGAATTTTTAAAATTAAACTAATTTTTATAACAAAACTTCTTATTTTTAATTTTTTCTTGCACATTAAGATTCCACCACCAACTATTTTTACTATTGGGAGCTTTTCCCTTTGAAACTCCAAGGACATCTTTTGCAATATTCTTAATATCAGTAGCCACTTTTTCCCACATAATATTAGCATCCTCATGCACAGACAAAATCTTAAGATCTAAAATCTTATTTCCAAAAATATTTTTGTTAATATTCTTTAAATGCCCCCATTTAATCCTAGAAAATTGTTTTACTTTATTTTTTATTTTATGCCCCTTTATCTTAAAGTCCAAAACTAATAAACGATGTTGGATACATAAATTTTCAGGATGCTAATGACCTAAAATCTGAGCAAGCATTCCCTTCTGATAAGAGCTTTTCAAACATCAAATTAAAAGCAGATAAAAAGTTTCAAATCATATTTCTAGGTAAGGCAATAGTTTTGAAAAACATTTTATAATTTGCTCAAGAAGAAAATAACACATACATATCTTATTAATTTAATCTTAGGCGGTACAAGAAGATAATATATAACATTAATATATAAAATTTACCTTTTAAGGACAAACATAGTCCGGTGGAAATAAGTATATATGCTGTGCAACCAACATAGCCCTGTGGCTTTTCAATATGGTAGAAAAAAATTAACCTCGAATGCAACCATTTATTTGAAATTAACAAAATATATGTTAATCAATTTTTCAAGTACAATATATATATTATATAGACACATAACTTTGGCATACAGCACAAGACAACATAGTTACAAACCATCCCTTTGTATAGATGGAGTCACTTCTCAATACATATTTGGCCAGGATAATTTAGAATCAAACAGCAATCAAATAATAAATCAGATTTTCACCTTAATCTACAGTCCGGAGCTATTATATTAAACAAGAATATAAATAATAATAATAATTATTAAAAAATTAAAAGATAGTTCTATAAACTATAGTAAAACGGCTAAGTTGTATGAATCCAAGTCTTTAGCACCAAAGAAATGAATATATCTAAGCTAATTTCATAAAATGAGAATTTTCAAATGGATGTAGAATAAAACCTAGATGAATAGAATGCTCAATGTTTGTATCAAAGAAACTATGGGAAGAGTGCCTCCTAAATTCTATTATAAAAAAGTAACCTAATTGGTCTGTGCAAATACAATAGATAATAAAAGATGCAATATTAACAACCAAGATAGAATCAATATGAAAGGCATATACAGGAAATGTAAAAACAGATGTAACTAGACCAGAAGTTAAGAACAAAAAGTTACATAAATATGACATCACTCAATGAATGAGATCAGTTACATAATATGATATCACTCAATAGGAATGAATGAGAATAGTTACATATAGGTGAGTTAATACCACTTTTATAATTTGATATGAATGAATGAGCACAGTTACATAATCGTGAGCTAACACCATTTATATCATTCAATAGGAAAGAATGAGAAGGATTTATAAAAAAAAAAAAAAAACTCGAACAGTGGAGAAAAGGCTACAGGACCTAGATGGAAACTTCTGGAAATAAAAAAGGTGCCAATTTTCCACTAATTTGACTATCCGTATAATACAAACAACAACAACATCAAGCCTTTATCCCACTACGTGGGGTCGGCTACATGAATCCTTTTTCTCCATTGTGTTCTATTAAAAGTCAAATTCTCATTTAAACCTAATTTGACTATCCGTATAATCTCAAGATAAAAATGCATGGTGTGCACATAACAACGTATATTAAATCAAATTGTTTCTATAATTATTAATTTGTGTGCACTTGGCCACTTTAGGATCTCTTGGACAATCTTTTTACAAAAGAAGAATTTCACTCAAAACATTTTTAATTTGTTTACTCGGCATATATTATTGAATGCATAAAATTATGCACATAAACAACACCAGACTTACTAAAAAAAGGCATGAGAGAGAGAGAGAGAGAAAGGAGGGGAAAAGAGAAAAATAGGTAGGGAGAGGAAGGGGACATGGATAAATGTAGAGAAAAATAAATACAATGTGTGTGTGAGAGAGAGAGAGAGAGGAAGAAGAAGAAGTAAACAAAGAGAGACATCACCTCCTCACTTTGGAATCTCCATAACGTTTGACGCCACAGAAACCTTCTGGGTCCTGTAGACACGAGCAAGATAACATAAAAAACTCAGAAGTTTCCAGAATAAAAAAAATGATATCTTCTGTGATATGCAGCACATTTATTTGAGTTCAGATTCATTTCATGTACTATAATATTGCGTGCCCAAATAAATGAGATAACGATCAAAATGATCGTATCACTTTTTATGAAAGAACAAAATAGTCCCCGACTAATTAAAAATTCTATTTTAGACCCTTTTTTTTTTTAATTGGAACCTAAATGATCCCAAGGAAGGACTAATTTGGTTCTTGTTTAAAAATTCAAGGGACCAAATTGGTACTTTTATATAGTTGGAGATTATTTTAATACTTAAAAAAAAAGTTGGGGAATTAATTCGATCCTTTTCTCCTAAATAAATCATGATTTCAGTGGTGTCATATGCAATTTTTAAATTATTTGGCAACATTACGTTTTAAAATGACCAATTTCAATTTCAAGTGAAGTTCTAAAATTACAAGGGTTATATTTGTTGTTACCAAGATTTGAATATTACATTATTATTAAAACATATACGAATGAAACCATTTGATGAAATATAAGATACATGAGATTTCATGCAGTTCTTAATTGTTTATAATTTTACTGGTCAAGTCCATCCATCTTCCCCAATGAAATGGTGCTTGGTTCTTATTTAAGCCAAGACTTAAAAAAAAAGTTGTGAAAAATGTCAACAATGGCAAATTAATGCGACTCTCCTCTGAACTATCCTATTTCTTCTTCCCCTCTTTCGATAACATCCTCCATCTCTTTAATAATAAAAAATTGAACCTTGGTGCAAGAATGCATAGCCTTTGCTTTCACTGACGAGGCAAAATGCGATGAGGCTGCATGATATTAACAAAGTTTCTCACCTAGTCTCCAAACCCTTCCGGTAAATTCTTCCTCCACTTTCCTAAGCCCAATATTGTCAATTGCTGCAGGCCAACTACAGTACAAGTAATGTTATTGTAAACAGAATACTGCAGATGGAAGGGCATCATCATGACTTCACACATCCCCTTCCTCATATTTAATGACAAACATATTTAGCTCAATCTTGGGATTTGAAACTTTAAGTTAACTGATATTGATGCATGCAAATTTAAGTTTATTTTCATTTTTTTTATTGTAATTTGAATATTATAGTTTTTTGGTTTTTTTTATGCTATCCTATGATGGAAAACACCCAATGATCATGAGTAGGTAGTGCTCGGGCATGACAAACTTTGGGTGTGCTAACTACTTGAATTCTTTGGTCTTTGGGTTGTTGGTTGCTTCTCGGGTTGGGTCTTGGCTGCTCGGGTTTGGGCTGGGTTCTTTGGGAGCTACTTGGTTCTAGCTCATAATTGCTTGAGCTGATGTTTAGCTCATTAATATGTAAAGTTATTCCTCTTGTTAGCTCATTAAGTGGAGTGAAATTTGGCATTTTCCTTTCTCTGTGTCTCTTCGATTTTTCCCTCCTGGTTCTCCTTCCCGTGGCCTGTTCCGATCCCCCTGGTTGTTGGTTCCGATCCCATGTGCTGCCCATTTGGTTCCTCTGGTTGCTTATCCCGTGGCTGCTTTACCCGATTTTCTGTGTGGTCTTTTCGGGTGTTGTTCTGGAATAAATGTTGGCCTTCTAGCTCCCCTTACCTGATTGGTTCTGTTTGAGGTTGAATGGTTGTTTGGCTGCCCCCTTTTCTCTTATAAATTGGAGATGTTTTGAGACAATAAAGGTTTTTGAATATTTGAGAAAAGTCTCTACAAAACCAGAGGGTTTCTTATTCCTTGGAAAAGCTTGAGAGCTTGTTCCATTTCTCTCTTCTTCCTCTCAATTTCGTCTTGGGCTTCTAACATATTCTTCTCTCTGCAAGTTTCACTCCACTTGTATCTTTCTTCTTGAGCTATTGGAAGGTGTTTGTTGGCTGATTTGATGACATTTGCAAGAGTAGTTTTGTTGGACGTTGGATCTTGTAGCTGTGGTGGACCCTTGGTTTTGCAAGCACTTATCTTATTTTACCTACTTTTCATTGCATATGAGGAAACTGCTTGATGGTTGTTCTGAGGATAGTGTTTTTTAATTTTAGTTTTATTTCGTTTGTTTGGCTTTCGTTTGTCTTGGTGTTTGTTTGGATGTCAACATTCTAGTTTGAATTGAGTTTTGTTCTACTAGTCCTAGTGTTCTCCTCTTTTGGCTCTTTCTTTTTAGTTTGCCTACATCAGATATGTACATGGATATAGTTCTACGTAGAAACCTATAACTGATTTTTGCATCAATTTTCCTCCTAATCTATCCAATTGAGAGAATGTTTTCTAAATTATTTGATTGTAAATTAATTGACGCATGTGAATGTGGACTCCAATAATTCATGCCCCAGCTCTATTAAAAAACTTTATATTCTGGTTAAATTTTCAAAAGACAAATTAGATTATAAATTAAAAACAACCCAAAAATTTCGCTCTTATTTTGCGAGGACTTTGTGATCTAGTTCTAGATAACTCATTGACATAAACCCCTATGATTTTGATAGGAATCTGATCTCCACACAACAAAAAAAAAATAATGAAGATAAAACACAGCATAAATCAATGAGCAAAATACTCTCCAACAAACCAAAATACAAGTTAATATTCTACTCGAGAGGCAGATCGACTCTCCACAAACCCTAGGCATTGCTAGGAACAACTCCAAAGAAAATTACTTCCAAAACACAAAATCACATAATGAAAATAAAACAATCTAATTAATCCTAAATAAACCTTTCTAATTCCATCTTAAATTTGAATTCAAATCAGTCCTCATTCCCTAAATAAACATTCCTAATTCCCTACCAAATAGGAATTCAAATCAGTCCTTTTTCCTTAAATAAACATTCTTCTATGATAAGTAATTAAAGATAGAATTAATCCCCTTTGAGCCCCTTCCCTCTTTGCCCGCCACCCACATTAGTGAGGTCCACAGGACACTTCTGCCCGCCAGCTAGACCATCCCCCCTTGTTGTTTGATTGGCTGGACTGGCTCAGCTAGTCCATCAATACTCTCCTCCCAAAGAACCACCTTGTCCTCAAGTTGGAACAAACAAAACTGCTGCTGAATCATCTGATATGGTTACCATGTTGCTTCATAGTCGAGCAAATCCTTCCACTCGATTAACACTTCTTTAGCTCCTCCAACTGTTGAGCAAACTCCTCTCACTTACATTGGCTCCGTAGGGGACATATGCAAACTATACGCCGAGGCACCAATCCTCTCCACAACCTCATAAGGCCCATGTTATCATGGAGATAACTTTTCATTTCTTCTTCAAGTTAAGGCCTTCTGTCTGTAGGGTCGAATCTTCAAATATCCTTATCACCCACCTTGAGCTGCACATCCCTTCAATGCCCATTAGCCCGCTTCTTTATAATTTGTTGTGCGCTCAATAGATGTCCTTTTAGCTCTCCCAATATCCCATCTCATTCCTCCAACTGTTGTTCCACTAATGAGACTAGAGTGCTCTTGGTCCCATAATATACCATGTGAAGAGGGTCTTTGCCATAAAGGATTTTGAGGGTGTAGCATGTGCCGCACTACCACTATTATCGAAATCACCGAAAATCCCTCCAATTTTGGCATACCTTCAATGAAATTCATGGTTATCTCTTCCCCCACCTTCTCAAACAAAGCTAGAGGTTGCATAAGTCCTCCTGGAGCTATTACCATATATTTGTGCCTCTAATAAATATCGCTGTTGGACACCATCTCCTCCACATCTTTTTGCATTCCAACCCAATACAATTATGCTGCCAACCTACAATAGGTTTTTTGTACCCCCCGAGTGCCCTCCTACGGCACTACTATGAAACTTTCGCAGCAAGTGGGGTTCATATGGCGACGTCCTCAATATCACCATTTTCCCTTGTTATAAGAGTCTCTAATTAACTAGATATAATTTGGATGGCTATCCTTATTCCCCAATAAATCTTTCCTGATTTTCTCCGATCATTCATCTTGCTGGCTTTCCCTTCTCAATGCCTCCCAGCCCACAACTAAGGGAACAGACATTGCCATCATGTGGGGCTCCCCCATATACCTGGATAACCCATATGCGGTCTTGTTCTCTATCCCTAATTGATATTGGATCTCAAAACCATAACACAGTAGTTTCAAAAGCCACCTTTGATGCTCCCATTTTGATGTCATATTCCATGTCAATTTGCATGAATTAACATCACGAGGGGCTTTTCATACTGATTTATCAAATCAATTGGAGGTATCATGCATGAAATAAAGAAGGTAATACTAATAGACCTGTGAGATATGAGTCAAAGCCTCAGGTCCATTCATTCGATGATGATTCCTCTAATGATTACTTTCAACAAACTTATGTTTTATGACCCTTGATTGTTGATGCATCGATCATTGCCAACTTGCTAGCTCATTCGATATAAGTTATCATTAGCTTCAACTACATTGTTAGCCATCAACTAATCATATTATTTGTTGCTCAATATTGTTATTTTAGATGTATTCTCACTAAAGTTTGATAAATTAATTTAAATACTATTTTTCCATTGTTATAAATCAAATCACTTTAACTTCATTGATTACACTACATACCAAGCATTTTACCTTTTGTTTTATGCGCCTTACGAGTATTATCACCACTTTATGTATTTACTATAAATTGTTTCACATGTACTGTATTTGATTTATATGTATTATTGGCATAAAGTATAAGTTGGCTTATGCTTTTGGATCTTTTTTATTGTTTATCTTACATAAGCAACTTTGTTGTTGGTTGCTTAAGGATCGTCACAGAAAAGATTGGCCAAAAACTCACATCAATTTTTAATTGTGGCTTCAAGGAAAGTACAAATAGAGTCATGAAGAAAAATATAATATTTAGTTACAGCTTTGTTTTTAGTTCTCGTATTTGAATTTTTCTAGGTGGAGACCACCTTGGTGGCCTGGGACATTCCAGGACCTTGTCTCTCCCAACTTATATGTGGTTGATCGAAGGAGGAATGTCCTTGTCCTGTCATGAGCAGCAAGTTTCTTACCTTGCTATTAAGACACAAACACAAAAGATTGTACATAATATTACATTTGTTTAATATTACTTGCCTTGGCAATATTTTATTACTTAATCATCAATACAATTACTTGGCTTGATTTAATTTCATTACTAAATCATCCTTTCATAAGTTGCCTTCTAAAACTCCCATCATTATATGCAAGGCAGGCTATGAGAAACAACTATTGGAAACAAATAAGAAATACAATAAAACAATTTAGGCATTTGATGACAAGCATCAGCGGAAAATATACTTAAGATTCATTTGACTACAAAACAAAAGAATGACAATGACTGTACCTCGCATTAGAAGTAGTCCAGAAAATATAGCAGCACCAGATGCTGCAGCTGGATGCTCAGTCACAATTACGAAGCCATCTAATGGATAAAGTGCAAGTTATTATCCCTTAAATATATCATCACTACTTAAGACAAGAGTCTGATTAGGTTAATAAATGACTTACCTTTAACTTTTTGAACAGCAGCATCTTCGTAAGCTTTATATTGCAACTTTACTTCATGCATGATACCCTAAAAGCATTGGAATGTAAATATAAGCAAAAAACTGCGGAAATTATAAATAAATCAACAATAGCATGTCAAAAATAACTAAGTAGAAATGAAGCATGAAACAATATTTTTTATATCTTAACTTCAGATTGTATACATACCAATTTGATAGGAAACATTTGAAGATTTCAAGTAAATCCTATCAAGAGAGCAAAAACAACGAGAAAATCTGATGGAACTTTAAGAAAACATAAATTTTATTGCAAGAATAGAACTCATGGAACAAGGAAAACAAGATACAAGTGATCCTCAATTCAAGAGGCGGATCGATCTCTCCCAAATCTCTTGACGCCGCTAAAGCCCAAAGAAAACCTAAGGGATCTCAAATTTCAGCCAAATTCAAGATGTCCTAACCCTACGAAAAAAAAATTACTTAATTCATACAATTCAAAAAGAAATATCTAAGCAGTCCCTACATTCAATTTCTCTCCTAAACTTCCTAAAAAAATTCTTCCTAATTGGCTCGGGTTGCATATACGGTGCAAAAGACGCGTACAGGATAGGCGAAGGTTCTGCATGTTTCTCACGGGCCGGTCCGGTAGGACCGACTGGACCGATCTAACAATACTCCTCTCCCAAAGATCCACCTTGTCCACAATGTCGGAAGAAGACACCCTTCTCCATTCCCTCATCAGCACAAACAGTGAGAACCTGAAGAGTTCGGTCTTTACATTTGTGCCCCGGTGTATACCTCTCCTCGCATTTGAAAGAAAGCCCTTTTGCTCTCTTCTCTTGTAAATTTATTTCTGTAAGCTTTTTGGAGCTGTCCGTAGTTCTTCCACCGACAGTCTTCTCCTTCGAAGTCTCCCAAAGGGTAGCCGATGTCAGCTCCTTGGATGCCAAAAAGTTGGTGGTCATCCTGTACGTGCCTCCTAAGTTGTTGTCTTTCACCCTTTTCTCTAGGTGCCTCTAATCCTCCACCAATTGAACTAGCTCCATAGCCTCTTCCAAGTCATGAGGCCTCATTACTCTAATTGTTGCCCGAATTTTTGGTGTCAATCCCTTCATGAAATTCCCCTCCAACACTGTCTCAGAAAGGCGGTCCAATCGGCTAGCAAGGTACTCAAACCTCTCCCGGTACTCTATCACTGAACCATCCTGCGTCAAGGTGAAGACTTGCTCATAAAAGTCTTCTCCCCTGCCGATTCGAAAAAGTTCTATCAAACAATCATTGAACTTCCTCCAACTATGTATGGGTCGTCTCATGCCCCTCCATTGGTACCAAACCAAAGCTTTCCCTTCCAAACATAGGGTCACTATTGTCAGTCTCTCCTACTCCATCAACCCATTGACGACGAAATATCTTTCAACCTTGTAAATCCACTCGTGCGCATCCTCCCATTAGCATCTTAAGTTTCCTCACCCTCGGATCACCTATGTTCCCTCAGTTCCCTACATAATTTCACATTCCCCAAGGAGGTGGTTCTCCCCAAGTGTCTCTGTCATACCCAAACCTTTCATCACATTCCCACCTTCTCCCTTAAAATTCAACATTCCTTGGATCATAATAAACCCTTCTCCTTTCAAATTCAGCCTCCCTTCGGTCATAATTTCTTCTTTCACTATCCAAATCCGCCCCTTTCCTCTCAAATTCAGCACCCCTTCGTTCTTGCCCTACCTCCTCACGCCTCTCCCCATACCCTCTACCCGGCTCCACTAGGAATAGGCTCTAGGGAAGGTATTCTCTCTACTCTCTTTCGAGTCTCTACCTCTTGATCTTCCCTTTGACTTGATGGCTTAGAGTTTCCTCCACTTTCCTGGCTGTCGGTGACTTCCCTCACCATCAATGACATTTTTTTGTTTTGGCCCATGAGCGCTTTCTTCAACATCTCCTCCATGATGGAAATTTTTGAATCGATATTATCATGGATGACTGAAATTTCTTTCTTTAAATCTGAAACTTGAGTTTGTAAATTTGAAATTTCAAATTTCATCTGTTCGATCTCCCCTTCGAGGCATTCCTCCAACGCATCCACTTTCTTGGCCGCCGTCGATATTCAGACTTTTGTTGGACTAAAAATTTGAATTTCGATTCCAAAAAAAAGCAAATCTCTCTTCCTCCGGCCCAACAACAGTCGTTGAAATTCACATAAATAGCCCCCAAAAGGTCCCAAAATTTGCTCTGATACCAATTTGATAGGAAGCACTTGAAGATTTCAAGTAAATCTTATCAAGAGAGCAAAAACAACAAGAAAATCTAATGGAACTTCAAGAAAACACAAATTTTATTGCAAGAATAGAACTCACGAAACAAGGAAAACAAGATACAAGTGATTCTCAATTCGAGAGGAGGATCGATCTCTCCCAAATCTCTAGACGCCGCTAGAACCCAAAGAAAACCTAAGGGATCTCAAATTTTAGCCAAATTCAAGATGCCCTAACCCTATGAAAACAAACTATTTAATGCATACAATTCAAAAGAAAATCTCTAAACAATCCCTACATTCAATTTCCCTCCAAAACTTCCTAAAAAATCCTTACTAATTGGCTCGGGTGGCATAGGCGTGCGAACGGCGCGTAAAGGATAGGCGGAGGTTCCGCCTGTTTTGCATGGGCCGGTCCGGTAGTACCGGCTGAACCAATCCAATGGACTGGTCTAACATATATGACTGCTAAGCACATCCTAAAATTAAAAGAGTGACGGTTATCAAAATCGAAGCTTTTGTTCAGGAAGTTAATCCCAATATTGGGTACAATTTAATGACTTCAGCACTAGTAGAGAATACGTAGATAAGATTTATCCCAAATAGATTTAGAAAAAGTTATTACAACAAATTTCTTTGCACAAGAACAACACGGGTAGCCAAATGGATAATATGGAAGAAATATCAAGCACCTTTCCTCCTAGATTATACTTTGAGATATCAAGAGCAAATCTGGATCCAATTATGCTTTCTTGTTGACAAATTTCCAGTAACATCAGAACTACCAGGGATACTTAAATACTCGTGAAAGCTCCTTGAACTAGGACTTCTAATTTAACCTCAGTCATACCATTAAATTGCGGAATCTAAATTTTGCCCTACTAAACGAACATAATTGCAAGTCAACTTTCCTTCCCAGGGGTTTGGGAGTCGATTCATCAAAATTTATCCAATATTTACAATTATTTTATTAAAGTTGTATGGGAAATCTTATTGTAATTTTCGGCTATCCTAGAGCTTTTTTTTTTAATAAAGAGGATGTCTTGTGTTTTGTAAGAGAAATTAGTGGTTGCATTTTTCAAGATCAAATCATAGTAATATTTACTGTTGTGGCAACAATGCATCCACCAAATGGGCAAACTTGCATAAATTTCTTATGCGTTTTTGTGTGATGATCATTTGTTGTGTATTCTTTTTTCTCTATATATATTTTGAATTAAGTTTTGTCTACTCCCCAGAACATACAATGTGAGTTTTCAAATAAAAGAGTGGGATATTCAATATATGCAAACTCTTACTATCAAAATCTAAGCCATTAGATTAATATCTATAAACAACAATAAGACCTCAGTTGTTGCAAGAAGCATTAAGGTAAAGTAAAGTTAGACCTTCCATGGAGCAAACTTCAAAAGTAACCAATTATAAAAGTGCCATGCACGACTCAATTTATAAATCAAAACGTCTGAATAAATTCAAGCACAACTTTAGTGCACTAGTAATTTTGTTTGCCACGTTCCATTAGGTGCTCAATGAGACATTTAAAAGTTTATCAATATCACTAACCATAGTGGGATAAATTGGTGCCAAACTCACTTTTGGTCTTCAAAATTTAAAATCTCAAAAAAAGGAAAGGCTTTTATCACTTACTGCAATCTTTTGGTTGAGCTTCCAGTAAACTCACTAAGAATTGCTCCATCACGGAAAAAATACATTAGTCTGGCTTAAATAGGCATGACATTCCAATTTCATATGAATATTTTCTTTTGAATGAGACTATAAAATGAGAAAAAAATTAAAAGTTGCAAAAGAACTTCCTTTATAAGGAGGATTCTATTTCTCACCCAAAAAGAGCAAAAATGGAAAGAAAGGGATTCTCATCATCATAAGTAAATTTTGAAGGGCTGTTTGTTTGCAAGATTTAGCCTGGATTTTAAGCTAAATATTGTCAAACAATTTTTCTTGCCGCATAAATTTCAATACCATCTAAATTCCATTTTCCTCTCATTTTAGGCTAAATCCTAGGTGAAGTGAAATTTAAGAGATTTACACAACTTCTCCTCATTTAAATTCTAGATCATGATAATCTCCATCGAACATTTTACTATGATTTATTCATATCTGACATATATCATACCAAACAATATTTATTGTCTCGGATATTTGCTAAATCTGGATATACAAGATTTACTAAATCCTACTCAATTAAATCTTACTTGTAACCAAACAGCTCCTTCATGATAATCAAACTTCTGTTCTTATGAGATTAAATACGTGAAAAAAATCATAACAGAATTTTCACGTTTTCTCTGTCAACTCGCAATCAAAAATGGAACGAATAGCTTTATTTTCTCTCTTAGAACACCAAATCATAGGAGAATTTATATCCTTTCTATTTCTCTCATTTTCCTTCAAATGAAATGCTTTCTTTCCTCAACTCCGGATCGGCGGTCTTAGGTTTAGAATATTGCTCTCAGACCGAGCTGAGAGGATAACAACACCACAGTTCACAAATGCCCTCTGCTTTGACCTATCAACAAAACCTAGTCAGCTATACTGCATTTGCACTTATATTTTCATTCCTGACAGCCACCTTCCACTTCGAAAGAGGCAAGAAAATAACAAAACTGAAAAATCCACCGCAAATGAAGCGAAGAAAAGGAGACAATATAGTTAGAGCCCAAATCAAATACTTAAAATCTTGGCACAGAATTGAATCGTTAAATAAGCAAAACATCCGTGATAGCAGAGAATGATAGAACAGTGGAATGTGTAAAAGAAGGAAACCTGCAGCTTCTGCAGGGGCCAGAAGGAATTCTCCTGCGGAGAAAAAAAGGATTCAGGAGCAGATCCCCGGACTTCCGATGCTGATCGCTCTCCATGATCCGGCGATCGGCGTGGCGGCGACGAAGGTGGGAGTGGTGGGTGCGAGGCGGGATCGGGGTACATCTTCTCGTCTAAGAGCGCTTTTGGTCCCGCTCAGCAAGTTAGCCTTACATATATATATATATACTAATCCTCATGAATTTATATATTTTAATTTTCTCAAAATAAAAAATTTGTATATTTAACATTTATATTTGTATATTTTGTTTTTCAATATTTTAATATTAAATTTGTATCAAAAATTTTATATTTAATTTTACAATATTTTAATATTGAAATTCTATCAATTTTTTTTATATTATAATTATATTTTATGTTAAATTATTTAATATTCATATTTTTTATAATTTTAAAAATATAATATTATCTAAGCAAATATAAATATATATATAAGAATTCAAGGATAAATATACATAAATTCTCTTGAAAAAATAGCTTATGGGATAAGTGGGCTATTCCATGAAACCATGATTGATCATCTTCAAAATGTTTCGATAATCTTCAATGGTTCTTATAATCATAATCAATCATATTCGAGTCATGAATCAATCTAATATTGAACTATAGTTAGATCCTATTCGAGGGCGCTTAAAATCATGATATATCACCTTTAAAGATGCTTGAAAGCGTGATAGATCATCTTCAACCTTGCTTTGAACTAAGATTACACCATACTTCAATTATATTCAAAATTGATTGAAACCATGATCAATGTGTGTATTCGAACCATGCTTCCAATAATGTTTGATTCTATTTTATATCTATCATGATTGCCTATCTTATAAGAAATATTTAATATTACTTGTGCATGATTATTCTATCGTCTTGTTATTGCCAATAGTACTCAACATGTCACTGCAACACATTTGTCTTATAAGGACCTTATTTGAACTTATTTTAACCAATGATCAAACTATATTAGAAATTTCATCAATCATGTCAAATGATCTTCGAAGATATTCAAAATAAGAGTCGATTAAAATTTCTAATAAATTTCAACTTTTTATAAACATTTTTTGAATGATACGTTTAAACATCTTATTTGAACATGTTATAACTCATAATCAAACATATCCTCAGCACATCATTGATCATGTTAAATTATCTTCCAATATGTTGAAGAATAATCAATTAAGTGCTCCAATAAATGTTCACACTTTTACGAATAATATATAAGCAAAATTCAAACTTTGCTCGACACTTTTTCGAACAATACTGACCACCACTTTAATTACTTTGCACCCAAAAGTGATTATATTTTAGTCCGAACAAAACTTTTCAATATATTTTCATAATAACCAAAAGAATATGTATATGTATATAATTGTACACATTATTGGGCATATAAATTCAAACTTTCATTTCATATTTTTGTAAGAAAATTTTGAAAACTAATTGTATATTTCAGAGTTATATATTGATTGCGTGTTGCATGGCTCAAAATAGTGCTCGTGTTTTTGTTATTTCCACATTATTTTTTGAATATTTAAATTTATTTAGAGCATCCCTCAACCACTTAATTTGCTCGAGCACATATTTTTCTACAAAATTTTATCTTTTTCATTTATATATATATATCAAATAACATCCATCAAGATGGTTGTCACAGTCAAACACGATAGGAATCATGTTGGGCTAGGTTGTAAATTACACTAATCAATTAACATGATTTGCATATTAAGATTCTAGCATTTATAACAAACGAAAAATTGAAGATTTTGTAATAGTCTTTGTACTAAGTTTTGTAATTGCATTTGCTTGTCAAATAACTCTCTTATAATTCATAAATAGCTAAATAATTTATCAAAATTTAGCAATATTTATTCATTTTCATGTTGAATAATTTTTAAAATTCAAGTTATCTCAAATGTATTAAATATGGATTTACATGATTTTCTAAATTGTAATTGAATTAAATACTATTTATAGCCAAACTATTATTAGAGTTATTTCACGATTAATAAGATATATAAATAATCAATTACTAGTTATATAATATCTATGGACATTAGAATACTTTGATGCCTAAAGTGCAAAAATGGCACCAAGGCATAAGAAATTGTTGCACTATGACATTTGAAAATATAGAATCTCGTGCTGTCAAGCTGACTTTCTGATACCACGATGTTGATAATGTCTATTCACTGATAAAATGTGACCCTTAGAAGTTACATATGCAAAACCATAGTGCTATGAACATTGGAATGCTTCGATGCCTAAAGTGCAAAAATGGTATCAAGGCGTAAGAAATTATTGCACCATGACATTTGAAAATAAAGAATTTTGTGCTGCCAAACTAAATTTCTGGTGCCATGGTGCAGATAATGCTGCAATGTGGATATTACGTGGCTCAAAATTTATTTATTTATAAAATTAAATTTATATTTTTATTTTTTGAAATGTTGAACTCATATATTTGTGAGTATTATGATCAAATTATTAAAAAATTTATAGAAATAAGAATATAGATAGAAAATTGAGTATGAATTTTTTAAATAATATGATTTGAATGTTGTTTATGTAATTGATCCAATTTTGGATAGTATATTGTCACCCAATTCCTTTTCCAAAGAGGCGCAAGTGGGAGGCCGAGCGTCCGCGGTGAAGAAGGCGCAGCGAGGGCGAAGTGCGGCCGTCGGATTCTGGTGGTCGCCGGCCAGCTCAAGGAGCGTTCGAGCAAGTGAGGTAAACATGTTGTAAATATCTACTTTTCCTCTTCCTTTTTTCCTCCCTCCTCTCTTGTCATAGCTAAGGTCGCCGGCCTTGGGTTCCCAAACGAAGAAAGTTTCGGCGGAGGTAGGGTTTTCGCCGTATTGATTTCAAAGCTTATTTCTGGAGGCATCCTATCCTGAAAAATGTGTTTCACTGTTTCTATCATACTAGAATTTTGAAATGAGAAGTGTATTGATTGTTGTGGACGGATGATTTGTTAATCCTTGAGAGAAGTGATTTCATCGAAGCAGCCTTTGCACCAGCAAATTAAGAATAATCCACAGTTTATGCCCTTGCGAGTCAATAATTGGAATAGCATTGCATGTGTGGTGGTATGTAATACTAGGAGGTTTTTCTGTGAGCTGTTACTAACCAATTTATCTATATATATATTTGTTTTTAGGGAATAAAGTGCTGGTCATCCGGGATCAATTCAAGCTGTGGTATTCGTGTTCATCTTCATGAATTTTTTATTCATAATATTCGACATAAGTTTCACTAGTGTTGCTCTGAGTCTGGGATGACTGGAATCTCCTTGGTGCGAGCTCACAGAAAAGGAACTCTCTAGTGTCTATTTTTCTATAAGTTAGCACAAACTTTGAAGGCTAGGTGAACCATGTCAAGATTCAGGTCTCTGTGGCAGGCTTCGATCAATGCGACCAAGAGAGGTATGCCCACAATAACCAAAGGGTTAGGTGGATGTTTACTACTGATTTCCTCAAATCCATGATCTTGATTTGTCAAAGGTTATGCTTTTGTTGAGTTTGGTGCCATTTAACTTGTTTGAGTTCCTCCAAGTTGATGCTTTAAATGTCACTTTATTTTGATTAGTGTTGTTCTTCAATAAGCAAACTCTTAAAGTGTTTACTGGAATGAATCTTGCTAAGACTTTCTTTTTCTGCGTCTTCTTCATTGGTTGTGTACTTACTCAGTTTTGCTTGTAGTGGTTTACTGATGACGGGGCAATGGAGGAGCATGGGTGGTGAGGGAAGACTTACGCTGGGAGTAATTTGTGGTGCTTGGTAGTGAGAATATGCAGTATTTTATTCTTACATGGTTGTTTAGGACAACATTTTTTTTCCGTCTAGTTTTCTGTTATGGAGCCATTCTTTCGAGGATGAGAGTGTGAGTCCAAGTATGAACAATTTCTTATAAAATTTTGCAATAATTTCCTAAGTGTAACATTGGAATTCAACGGATCTATTCATCAATTTGTTGGTATTCTGACCATTCTATTGTTATCTATATTGTTTGGCTTCATTATTCAATCTTGCTCCAAACAACACTAGTAAAGGAGAAGGAACTAAACTTTCATACGGAAGATGAGTGTAAAATCTTGATTAAGTGAGCAAGCCAAAAACTCATATTTCCCATGGCTAACTTCATGATTAGTGTATATAATATGAAAAATCTTAATGAGAATCAAATGCAAAAGGGCAGCCTCCTGCTTGGAGGCTTGAAACCCCGATTCCTTGTAGAATATTATTATTTTGATTTTTCTAGTTATATTTTTGGTTTTCTAGATTTATTAAATTTTCTAGATATTATATTTCTCTATATATATTCAGGGGAGAAATTCTATGAGCTCTAAGAGTATGACATTCTTTATATATTATATGATGATTATGTTTATCTATATATATTCAGGGGGATAACTAAGAGTACGACAAATTCTTTATATATTATATGATTTCTTCGTTTGGTGGATTTTTTTGAAGTTTTATCTATTCTCTTATTATCAGTTTTTTATCATTTTTCTTTGTTGTGTGGTTGAACCTATAGCCTACAATTTTTTAACGTTGCACTTATTAATCATTTCAGGGATCTGCTTGAACTCCTCTTGGAGCATGCTACTTCATTCTTAACTTTTACATGAGAAAACAATAAGCTCTGTACTTAATTTGGGTTGGGCCGGTTGTCAATTTTGACTGAGTTGAAATGGAACAAAGGGAAACCCATTTTAATACATTAAGTTGGTATTTTGGGCAAGACTTAAGTCTATGGAGTAATATTAAATATATAACTTAATTGCTCTATATTTGCACTAAATATCTTTTAGTTTTTCTTAATTAAGATATGCAATTCTTACTACTCTTATTTATGAACTTTCAATTTCATATAAACACCTGTCTATGAGGTCTATCATAGAATCAATCTCTTTATAGAAAGTCTATGTGTTCTGTATATTCATCAAATTGTCCCTTCTGAGCTATGACTGGGTGGATATGCATCTCCATTTGATGTGCTTTGGAGTGGAACTGAATAATGAACCAATAATATTTTTTGTGCTTCTCTGTAAAGCCTATAGATGTTCATCTGAATACATTTTGGTTGAGCTGAGCAGCTTTTTGTTTTGCTTCGCAATGATTTGCAGCTTTTGCATGGAATTTTGAAGATCTAATGCCCCCAAGAGAAAACATTATATTCAGTTTCAACTCGAAGGATGAGCTGAAAAGGTGGCATTTATACTCTGATTCTGAATATGGAGGTATAACATGCCTTTTGACGGCTACCTTGCTTGATTTTTTTTTTGGTTCATTTCTTGTTTTAAACACTATTTGTCTTGAAGTATGTTGGTTAAATAATAGAGCCAGTCATTGTGTTTTCAACATCAGAGTTGTTTGTTTTAGCATCAGCATTATGCATCAACTTTATATCGAAATGGCAAACGGAGAAGGCAGAAAGTAGTCTACAGATGCACCATAAATCGAGATGATCAAATACTTGATATATGAATTGTTATCATATCTAAAGTATCTCATGCGCTAGTTTATTTGTAGTAGGAATCTGCACTATTTATTAGTGCAATATTTCCCTACTATTAAAGATGTTCTCCTTTATTGTTTTTTTTTTTTAAATTTGTCCTCTATTGCCCATATGTATATAAGTACATGTATGCTTGTATTAGAAGGCAATTCAACAATGATGTCGTTCTTTACGGTTTCCTCTCTCTCAACATGTTATCAAAGCCATGATCTAGAATCCTTTTGATATTTTCTAAGCACTTTCTTGTCGACGTTGCACTCCTTGAACTTCTGATCTTTATTAGCATGCTCTTGAAATTCCCTTTCATTGTGGCCCACCCGGCCACCCGTGTTTTATTAGCTTCTCCCTTTGTGAGATTCTCATCTTCATCTCAAGCATCATCCAATTTGATGACTCCATTTGTTTGTAGGATGCTATTGTGCTAACCTTTTTTGACCATCTTAGTTGCAAGAAATAACACAGTAACCTACTTCATCAACGCTCTTTTTCAATACTTTTCATCGACACTTTTATTGACATCTCTATCGATGCACTATATTTGTACCTATATTTAAGAATTTTCTGTGTAAATTCTTTGAGACAAATCTCATTGTTGTTTATATGAATTCAATTCACACTGCATTGATCCTTTATATTTCTTTTGCGACAATCACAACTCGTTGGCAATAAAACATTCAACTACTTCATCTTCACTTACTGCTATGTCCAAACTCATGTTTATGTCTTCTGCCACTTTGAGTTTGTGAGGGAGTGTTAATATATCTAAAATATCACATGTGCTAAGCTATTTTTAACAAAAATATACTATTTGAGAAAAGGATCAAAATGGCCCCTTCACTCTTTGGGAAGGACCAAAATGATCCCAACTATTTTGAGGGACCAATTTGGTCCTTCAACTCTTTAAAATGGGAGCATTTTGGTTATGCCGTTCAAAAATAGCGAAAAATTCGGATGGAAGCGATGGTATGATTGGAATAATCACAAAAATAATAATAAGAAGAAAAAGGGAGAACGATAGTTACCTTCATTTCGAGTGAGCTCCCGTCACTCCATTCGATCCAACAGGAAGAATAACTTCACGAATTTCGATTAGCGACTTACTCAAAACACTCCCATTTGCTTCGTCCGATCCAACAGAAAGAACAACGAATTTTTGCGAACTCTGATTTGATAGGAAGGAACGTTGTCAAAGGAGGTGAAGAAAGGCTTTAGCGACTCATTCAAAACCCTACCTCATGCAAAACACACAAAGTCCAACATCAACGAAGAATGTGAAAGAGAAGAAAGAGGTGCAAATCGTTTAGGATTTAATTTATGTAATTTAATTCATATAAATTAAAAAAAATAATTAGATAATTAATAATGTAAATAATAATAAAATAATTAATTATATAATTAATATTTTATATAAGAATTAGATAATTATTCAAAATAATTATTGTAATTATATAATTATTTAAGTTATTAATATTTATAATAGTAATAAGATAATTAAGCTAGTTAGTATCCCTAAGATATTATTAGTTAAGTTAGATAATTAATATATGACTAAATTTTTTACAATTATAACTAAAAATATTATTAATTTCTCTTATTAAACAAACAATTAATAGTTTTTTTATTATAATTACTCAAAAATTATATCTAATAAATAGTTTAATTAAAAATTACTAAAATGCCACTATTTTTTAACACCATTAAGTCCAACATCCATTAGTTTAGATGTTATGACCAAAATGGTTCCATTTTAAAGAGTTGAGGGACCAAATTTATCCATCAAAATAGTTAATGGTCGCTCTTAAAGAATTAAAAGACCATAATCCTTTTCTCATATACTATTTATTATTGTAATATTTCGTTAATATAGAGAATATTCTCTTCCATTATATTTTCCTAAATTATTATCTTCTCTTCTTAAGTGTTAATACGCCCAATGTTTTGGATGGGATCTAAATGGTTTGTGAGGTTTGTGGCTCCAATTGGTATTGGTACCTTCTACCATGGTTTGAGTACGGTGCAAAGGCAAGACTCCCACGATAGCTCCATATAGTTGAATGCGTGCTCTTGGTGCATGATACTAAGTGATTGATCCTCACCTATGGCCTTATGCTTTTTGGTTGAAAATAGATGACCACGGGTGTATTAGGTCCAACTTTAATCCCCTTTGCTTTATACTCAATAAGTGGTATTTACTCAATGTTTTGGTTGAAATCAATTGGTTTGTGCAGTTTGTGGCACCAAGTGGTATTTGTGCCTTTTGCAATGGTTGAGCAAGGTGCAAGGGCATGATATATATATATTTGACTATGTCTCCATTTTCATTTATATTTTTCAGAATATAATTAGGATTTTCAACATTTTCCAGGTTTATCATTAGCATCCTTGGAGATCAAAGAGGGTGATAGTGGACTTAATGGTACACTTCACATCCCTATATCTTACCAATATAGTTCTTACAAGTTGCATATATCTTTTAGTTTATCTGTGGGCATGCTTTTGAGTTTTATTCTTTCCCGCTAACTACCTCTAATGTTTATAAAAGTCTGTAAAAGAACTATATGTACTTTAGCATGCTATATTTTTCTTCCAATACGAAATGCATATTTGCCATCAAATGAAGGTTCTAACATTCAAAGGTGCCACATTGCATCAACAAAATGCGCATCAAAAGGTAGATATGTCTTCTACGTTTGTCCTATAAGCATAAACGTGATATTGTGATATTCTGAGACTGAGATATGAAAAATCATTAAAAAGTAGCATACAAATATATTGCTATACTATTCATGTAAATATTTATTTGTGATTTCATGTATGATATGATGTACAAGTGCCATTCATTTAGTATTTCAAGTTCAGTGCCATTATTCTTATTCTAAGTATGAAGTTGTATAAAGAAATCCATTAGTTTGACGTAGTAATTGTTACTGAAAATAAGTTCATGCCATTATTCTTATTGAGTTAAGCTCTTCTGGTGCTCCAACTTTTTCTTTTTTATGTTTCAGCGTTTAGATCAGTTAACACCAATTTCTGAAAAGAAGTCTAGCAGTGAATTCTTGGCTACTAATTTTGTGATTACCATCATGAAGGGATCTTTTCTGGAAAACTTTCTTTGGACGTAGCTGAGGGATCCCCTTGGAGAATGAAAAGGAGTGGCTTTTGTGGTATGCGCTCCAAGAAGGTACTTTGCATTTGTGAACATCTTCAGAATTATCTATATAAACAAACATGGAGGTCGACCATAAATAAGCTTGTATAATAAACGGTGAAACTATGTCCTCCAGTTGTTAATGCTTCTCTCTTTATATATATATATTAGACATTTTGAGTGGTATATGAGATTTTGATGATAGATGGAGATTTTAAGAACTAGGCACACTGGAGAGAAAGATGAATGGAGATTTTAAGAGTAATAGGTAAAAGCCTTGGCTATTTTCATGCAAGAGGTGAGAAGATGCAGGCGATTGGAGTGGAAGAGAGGATTTGAAAGTTTTAAAGAGTGAATGGAGATTTTAAAAGCAAGAGGTAGAAGTCCTAGTTAACTCCATGGCTGAGCTAGGAAGATGCAGAATATTGGATCGGAAGAGAGGGATGTGAGAGTTTTGAAGAGCGAATGGTGATTTTAAGAGCAAGAGGTAGAATCCCCAGTTAAATCCATCCTGGAGGTAAGTAGATGATGAAGAGTAGGATCTTAAATTTTTAAAGAGTGAAATGAATTTTTAAGAGCAAGAGGTAGGAGCCCCAAATAAATCTAAAATGATTCAAAATTACCTCATTAATTTTAGTTGGGAGACGCAATAATTTGCCTATTATGTTTTTCTCCTTCCAGTTCGATGGCTTTATTGATTTGGATGCATACGATACAATTACTATGAAGCTTAGGGGGGATGGAAGATCCTATATTTCTACAGTGAGTGTTCTTGTTTGCTTGATTCATTTTTCTTCCATTTCCAATTTCATGAATAAACTTCATATTCCTTATTTCCATTTCATTTCTATTGTAGATATACACAGATAATTGGATAAATTCACCAGGAAAACAGGAAGATAATTCTTGGCAAGCTTTTGTTCTCTCACCCAAGGATGAATGGAATGAGATCAAGGTAAGTTTCTTTCAATTGCCTGATATCAGTTCCCAAGATCTTTTGTTCATAATAATTCAACTTGTAAATCATATTTTCAGATTCCGTTGGATCGATATTTGCCGACATGGAGAGGAAATGTGATCAATGCAAAGTTGGAAATGAATCCAGCTCGAATCGTTGGAATGTCTCTTTCAGTGAATGCAGAAGGTGGTGTACCAGGTGCTAAATCTGGACCTGGAGATTTCAAGCTGGAGATAGATTATATCAAGGCATTGAGAACCTGATTTTCCTGTGTGTCCATAGAATCAAATCGAATGATTTTCAGCAGATCATGTGCTGAGTTCGAATCAATTTGATATCAAGTTGACATGCCCTACATGAATATATGTTATTTTCAGGTAACTGCAATACATTGTTTGAATCTACAAGTGCCGTTGCCAGGTATCAAGTTCTGAATAAGAAAAGTGGAGAGTTGCGCTAGATAGTCGACGGCGAACGTAAAATTTATCGAATAGTTATGACATGAATCTTTTAGAAAATTAGAAAAGTCCCCCTTAAATTTGAGAAAAAATGCTATAATGGTGGTGAGTCCTGCAATGCTTTATGGTGCTGAATATTGGCTGTTAAAAGAGAAGCATAATACTAAGTTAAGTGTTGCAGAGATTAGGATGATCAAGTGGATGAGTGGCTTTACCCTTAGAGATAGGGTATGAAATGAGCATATCCATGAAAATGTTGGAGTAGCTCAAATGGAAGATAAGATTAGAGAGGACTTTTGGATGATTTGGTCACATAAAACAGTGGCCTTCTGATGACCTGGCTAAGAAAGGAGGTATTAGATTTGAATTATGTTAATAAATGTAGAGGTAGACCTAAAAAGACTTGATTAGAAAATATTAGAAATGATCTTTCTTTATTAGATTTAAATGAGAATTTGATTTTTAACATGACAATGAAAAAAAAAATTATTGCATCCAACCCCACATAGTGGGATAAATGCTTGTTGTTATTGTTTGAATCATTAACTCTTAAAGTTTTAGGACAGTTTTTTTCATGATTGACATAATTTCTCTCGGTTATATATATTTTTTTCATTTTTAAACAAATAAATTTTAAATATAAGGTTTGAGATGATCCACAAGAGCCATTCAATAAATCTTTTTGCTTGCTTGTTGAAAAGATCTGATATTAAAGGATTTAAAAATAATGCCAGTTATATCTCTCTAAGAAATAAGGGATTATAAACATGCTCTTTTACGCATAATTAAAGATACATCTCTGCTTAAATTTGTTGAATTTTATCTCAACGAAATTCATGTCAGGATATAAATTCATAATTTTATATTGACTATTTGATCTTTATATAATTTATAAATAACAAATTTTAGTTAGAAATATAAATAAATCACTTTTTTCATTGATAATTTTCTACCCAACAACAGTAAAAAATATTAAAAAATCATAAGCCAAAGATAAATTATCTCAGCAAAAAAAAAATTCCACTCAAATTGTAGTCAAGCTTCATTTGGGACAGCTTTTTTGCAGCTTCTTAAAGCAGCTTTGTAATAAAAAATTAAAAATTTTGTATTACAAAGTTACTTTAAAAAACAATAAAAAAATAGTCCCAATGAGGAACTTTTATTAGGTCCGGTGTAATGACGTAGAGGAACGTCCGGTCGGAGGCAAAATCCCGCCAAAAAACTTGGTGTTTGCTCGGTATTGCTAGGTATTATTTGATAATAACGAGGAATACCGCTCTGTGAAGACCAATACCGAGTTATGCCGAGTTATACCGAGTTGTATCGGTACAACTTTTGTATAACTCGGTATAGCTCGGTATAACTCGATATTGGGTCTTCAGGTGATGATATTCCTCATTATTGTTTGGTATTGTTCGGTATTTCTCATTTTTTGACGCGATTTGATCTCCGACCGGAAGAGGTCGGAGGACGTAATAATTGTTCCCCAATGAGACAAAGCCTCAGCCTAATGAGTGAGATTTCAATTCCTTTTTCTTTCATTTACATTTCTTTGCACTTCTACCAAATTCCTACAAGCACATAATAACTGTAAAACACAATAACCATTAGCTCACCGTGAATTGCTCATCAGCTAACACTTCAGCTAATGAACTGTGGAACAAAATCACTGTTTCCTTACAGAAAATGAAAATCTTGAATGCAGCGATCATCAAAGCAGCAAGAAAATTCCACCAGCTGAAGCATATCCCCCCATGTTACAAGTACTCATGGCCAGCTAGTCTGCTAGTAAAAGAGAGAGAAAATAAAATAAAATTAGAATCACTTTGATTTCTCAATCTTCAAGTGGCCTGCTTGAGGCTGCTGCAATTCTTTCCAGTCTCTATGCATAATTATCTGCTGCAGAGTTGTAACAATTTATGACAAGCTATTCCCTGAGAAATAGACTTCAAAGTTCATCATGGTGGCCTTGTGGCTTTCTTGTGTTCATTTGCTCCAGTTTCTTCTCCAGTTCCTATCATATTACCAAGGTATGAAATGGCATTAGGGAAATTAAAAGTTGTATGCTCATGTACAGCTTTATAATTGCTAGATTTATAGTTGCTAGATTAATCTATTTAAAAGAATAAAACTAATTCTCAGACATATTTTGACTCTCATCATAAATTTTCAATGATTAAAATTTAAAATAGCAAAAAATTCTCTTTTAACTACTTCAAATCTTGATCATTTAAATTTCTAATCAAAAGTGTAAAATGTTTATGAGAAGAATGGGATATATTCTCCAATTCTATGTGCATGTATGTTTGCATGTGAATGTGTGCACATTAGCATGCATGCATATACACATAGATTGTGCGCATACATCTTATATTTTATAAATAAAAGGTATAAGTACATGATGACATATTATCACATCTTTATAATACTTTCACATATATTTCATGTTTACGATGATTCATGTAGCCGAAAAAGTATTCATGTGGCGAAAAAATATTCATGTAGCTGACCCCACATAGTGGGACAAAGCCCAAAGGCTTGATGTTATTGTTGTATAGATTTTATGTTTACGATGATACTATGTTCAGCTTAGTAAACAAATACCTAAAAACAAAATTTTGAGCACTTGAGTTTACTAAAACTCGGCTCGTTTACCACCCCAATTTACTATGAATGACAATAAAATGGTTGACTAGAAAAAATAAGGTGCACCTTTAACTTATCTTCTAAACATAAAGCAGGAGTGGACATCAAAGCAGTATATCTGAAATCGATAACACGTGAGAACAACATATAATATGTTAGGAAAGATAAGATATGCTAATTTTGTCGACCCTGCACTCCATGGATTCAGTTGTGGAGTCATTTCTGTAATTTCACACAGAAATGACATTTGTGAAGGTCGACAAATGCCAAATTGGCAAATTTAATGTTTCTCAAGAAAGATAAGTTAGAAGAAAGCTACACATACTCGCATCGGCTTGGTTCATCAACATCACTTATCTCATTTTTCAATCCACATCTAAGCCTAACCTGTATGAAAGAGAAAGCAACAGGAAAAGCTTGTTCCAAGGATTTTCATAATTAAACTAATAGAAGACAGTTCAGACCTTTAAGCTCCTATCAGGTCCATTCCAGCATTTTTCACCATTGGTGAAAACCATAACCCTGTAGGATTCTTCAAAATTGTCCCAACTACTGCTCACACAGAACACATGCAGTCAGCAAGATATCACATTGTGTATGCAGCTGGTTGATATCACATCACAATTCAAAAGAGAGAGAATTCCGGGTATTAAAAGCATTAGTAATTATGCTACCTAGAGGACCATAGCAAACAGGGAACATACCCTAATCGAGTTTTGCTGTAGCCCTCATCTTGTGAAGCTTGCTTGAATGGGCATATCTTGTACACATACCTGTTAAAAGAGTGACAAAAAGGCACTTAGAATAATAATAAAAGAGGAACACTAAATATGACAGAGGACAAGGAAAAAAAAGCTTTGCATACTTGTTCTGTTTGCTCTCAAAGCACTGATCATAGAAGAAATAAAATTCTTTCTCCTTGCCTAGAAAGGAAAATTTGAAGATCAATTGAAAACTTAATAAAGCTTATTCTCACAATAATTCACTAAAACATATGATAACATGGTCGGATAGAGTTGGGCGTTTCCATATGTTTATATAGAAGGCAGCCTCGCTTCATCTTAAAAAATATGCGACTAAGGCTTCGTTTGGGACGGCTTTATTACTGCTTCTTAAAGTAACTTTTTAGTATAAAAATTTTATTTGTTGTACTAGAAAACTGCTTTAAGAAGCAGTAAGAAAGCCATCCCAAATGAAGCCTAAGAAAATCATGCGACCAATCATACCTTCTAAAGCATGCACTAGAATCTATGGAGCATTAATGGAAAAGAAATGATAGTTACACGAAATATGTAAGGTTTGTAGTTGGGTGATTGCTGGCAAGTTGCTTTATAAAATATTACGTCATTGCTACATGCCATAAATGATTTGAAACGGTTGAAATTCTCGGATTCTCCAAAGATACCATCTTTAGCACAAGCTTATTCCATCCACACAAACCTTGAAAAAATAACCCACAAGAGTACTCTAAGATGCCGAAGTCAATGAACTCAACAGCAAGAAAAAGGCACAGTATCAGCTCAAAAAAGCCTATTTCAAAGAATGAAATAAGAAAGGAGATGGATACTCACCTTACATCTCAAGGGGTTGTTCATATTTGGAGTATTGGGTATTTTAAGGAGATCGAAAGGTTTCTTAAGTTGGGCTATTTTGTTTGGTTCCATCAAGACTAGAAAAGGATGAAAGTCCCTTTTGTAAACGAACTCTAAGCTATGGTGAAAGTCAAAGTATTAGTTCTGATTGCCTTTGTTTAGTATGAGGCTATGAGCAGGTCAGGTCACTAAATGAACTCATCATTTTTTATAGCCGGCAAGACATTAGAATGTGTGGTATTGTGGGTGTGTACTCTCAATCTCAGTTTAGTTCTTGCTTCTACTACTATTTGATGGGGAAGATCTTAATATCTTGATTGCTCATTCTTTTAAAGTGAGAAGGTTGGGTCAATCCCTCACATTCACTCGTACACTTACCTAGCTATGGGAAGAATTATTAATATGTGAGCTTCAATTGTCTAGTTATTGATTTTTTTTTTTAATTGTCTAGTTATTGATGATTTGGCACTCAACACATCAAATAAGCTCAGGATAAAATTGATCAAGATTTCTCTAAAGGCCGAGATAAATTATCCTAAGAAAAGATCGACAAGGAAAGCCACATGTTGGAGCTCAAGATATACTTTTGGAATTTGCCAAAAGCTTCATTGGTCGAGCATTGAAAGAATTCCCAAAGTGGCTCACCCTCTCCATGATGCATCCTAGAGATATGGAAAGGATCCTTCATGATGTGTTAGCAACGAATTGATCAACAAAGAGACAAACATGTTCATTTAAGTCCACAAGAGAATAAAACTATAATCATGCTGTTTGCTTCAAAGTGGTAGGAAAGACTTAGAATAAAACCAAATGGTGGCCTCGTGAACTCAGATGATTGTTCAAAAATAATTGACTTGCTTATATGGATCAGTGGACCCTTTGGATGAGTAAATAGCTAGCCTATTGAATCCAAGTGGAATTAAGCGACTTATAATTTGACTCGCAAAGAGAGTTGAATGGCAAATATGTTGGCAAGGAAGTGAATTGATCAGAGTAATGGTTTGAGGAAGGGTGTAGGTTGACAAAGAGGATATTTGGGATCATTTTTTATTTTATTTTGTTTATATGTAAATATAAAATTAAAACATATATATATTCTTTTTATTGAATATCACATAAGTCGATTTATTTTGTGATTTGGAGGGGAGATAGCATCGTGAACAGGTGCATGAGACAAAGTAGTCATAAGCACTGAAAATCATTATGATGTCTCAAGGAGCACCCCAGCTGCAAAACATGAAATGTTGGGAATGATTCTCAAAGATGACACTGAATGGTTGCGCACTGAAAATCATTATGAGTTGATCGAGATTCTTAAAAGACAATCTTTAGCAATTGTGGGCTTCAAAAATTCGCGCCTCGACCTCTCCGCGACCTCTTTCTTTTTGTGTGTCGGCGAGAAAAGTTTTAACGAGTTTAAATTCCGAAGCAAATTTTCAGAAGGCAGATTGGGTTTTAGATGAGACATTACCCAGATATTTCACCCTCATTTTGCGAGACTCTATGATCTGAGTTCAGGTTTCTTATAGGCGCAAGCCCCTATAGTTTATTACCCCTCCCGATAGCGAGAGAGAACTTTCGATTAAAGCTAGTCATCAAATAGATACATAGTATCCGACATATAGTAGCATCTGATTTTAATATCAAAATTTATATCACAGCGCACTTAAAGCGAATGATGGGGGTAATGATGATGAACCTGATCAAGATCCCATGTTTCCATCGTCCTGGGTTATCATGGTCCTTAGTTTACTTAGTTAAAGAAGGTAGCCGACCCAACCTGAACAAAGAATCCTTGTCGAAAGTCATGGGTTGCTTCATCCCAGGGTACCTTGTAGAGTTAGGATGAATATTTGTCTAACGATACAAATTTGAGTTCACCTTAGCTAACAAAGGGCTTTATGCCCTATCAGACACATCCTATTGATTCATTGCTCAATATTTCGTTCGGGAACATATAGTTTCTGACAATGACCATAATTTAATGGCGTCATTTAGTGACAAAACCACTTAGTCAGAGGGTCTCGATCACAACCGTTTATCTATGGTGTCATTTTGTGATGAAATCATCGGTTACATGACACGTGTCACATCCTGACTAGCAAGAGATGATTTGAGAATAAATTCTAGTGATATTCTCAACTAGACATTTAGTCTTTGTTAGCTGAAGTGATTTTTAAACTTGTTCAGCTCGTCAAACTGTTGCGAAGGGTGGATGGGTATTTTGCTTAAGTGCTTGAAGATTAATTCGGTTTTACATATATTAATATCATTGACAAATGCAGAATTTTGAATCTTTGATGGGCTTTAAAAGTTACCTCTCCGATTGTTAATCAGGCATTTAGTTGGAAAAAAGAATTTAAGTACTTCAAGCATTGCAAAGAAAATGATCCCCCAAATATATGTAACCACAGCATAGGCTAAGTAACCCCAAAAGCTAGTGTCCACAAATTAAACTATGGCATAAAAGTAAAGCATCAACGAAAAGTTATCGATCTTCAACTTCAATACTTTCCCAGATATTGCACTCTACTCAAGCTAAATAAGGTGAATTTTCTTCAGTCAAATCCTCTAACTACCTAATTGATTTTTATAATACAACTAACCATTAATGACTATAATTCAGTGAAAATAACATTTTCTTAGCATAATTTCTCAAGCAACTCTATCATCATATGAGTTCACACCAAGATGCAAACCTTCGATAACAAAATAAAGCCACCTCTAGATCAAAGTAACAAAAGGATGCTACTTTTTTGAGGAAATTAGGTTACATTAATAATTAAAGAAGTATTCATTAAGTTTACCTGATACCCAAGCATCAACCTTGTAAACATTTTAAATTTCATGTTTAGGCCAAAGCTGCACAATTCTTACCAAAATCACGTTTTAGCTTTTCTGTCAAACTGGATATTCTTGATTGCACCTTTGAAAGTTTTGAACTGGTGTCATCATATTCCTTCCGAATATGTGTGGCATCTGGAAAGTACAAATAAACAAACAACTGTAATTACATATGTCAAACTTGACATAATATTGACAAGAATAGATGCACATACCTGATACATTCACTGGAGTCTTGAAAAAGTTGAAAGCTTGCAGAACGCTCTGCACAGTTTGTTGTATCTTGTCCAACCATGTTGGGCTACTTACCTCGATGCTATCTAGAAAGTCATATATTTAAGTCAAACACCCTTCAATAACAGACTAGATTCAGTAAACTTGGTTGATGAAGCAGATCATGATAAAATCCACAACAGCAGATATTACAACAGATTCACAGAAGTGTTAAGAAATCAAACCTAAAGGATCAGGCTTCTCATATTCATCAGCAATATAAGATGCATCTGAACTAGAATGGTCATCTTCAAACTCATCATCTCGATCATCTTCAAAATTGTCATCATCATCATCATCATCTTTTGATCTATCATCATCAGTTTCTGATGTATAGCCTTCGTGTTCGTGGGCAACACTTGAGTCTTGATCCATTAGGTCTTCCTCAACATTTCCTATTTTGTCAGTTGTCTGATCAGCACCTTCACTAGTCCAGCGGGAAGCTACAAGACGTCCCAGCTCTTCTCTCGATAACTCTTCAGTACTACCAGAATCATCTTGATCCTGTAAAGATCATTTTTCATTGATCTTGTCACCAGAAGAGAAAAAGAAGAATTCCTCAAAAAGTTGAGTCTTTCGAGTCGCCATGAACACCAGGGAATAGTATTTAATGGGAAGCAATTGTTCATCATCATCATTATTAGTTTAATCCCAGCTATTTTAGGTTTTCTTTATAAATCTTAATTTTCTAAAAGCTATGAATTATTGATAAATAATAAATGATTTTGAGAAAGTAACTGCACTTAACTGGCAGCCTCTACATAATATGCTTCTTGTGTTAATATTGATGGAATATCATTTGGAACAAAGATAATAAAGCTTCAATAGATACCACCTCCATTGACCCCAAGCATTAATGCATTACGCAGAATAGCAAAAAAATCAACTGCAGACACTATTGCAGGTGATATGCAGAAGGGGAGTGGGGAAAGCAGCGATGACTGAGAACTGAGAAGACAAGGGATGGGGACGACTGTAGAAGAAGAGGGAGAGGGGGACATTCAAAAGAGTTGGAAGGAGGATCATACATCAAGAAAACATGAATCATTGTTAGAGCTTAGTTTTTATAATCAAATTATTACAGATGTGAGCTGTCACATATCCTCATTACAATGAGTTTGCTTGTTGTGCTCATAGTTCCTCATCCTTACTGTGCTCGCAAGCCATAACTCATGACTTCCTTCACAAACTTAATCACTCTTGTTGTGCCATAGCATTCAGTCTTCATCATGCCAACGACTCTCACGAGCTATAACTTACAACTTCCACTTCAACACAAGTTTTGACGTGAGCTCCATGACTAGCTTTTGGTTCGCTCTACCAAGCTAATTTATTGTCTCTAGCTCCCATTGTTCCTTACGCTCATGTGTCGTTGGTTATTTCAATAGCAAATCATCTCCATCTTCCCTTGTGAAGCTCCTCGTCTACTCGCTTCCTATGGATTCTTCAGCCCCTTTATCGATGCTTCCCATCTCTCATGTCAAGGTTCTACCTCATTCTTTGCCCTCACATATTCCTCTCAACATGTCATTTTTGGAAGACCATGCGATTTATGATGATTTTCCAACTCCATTACACAAGATCTCTCCGGGTGCTAGTAATCAGCCTCCCGATCTCATAGTCCCTCTTTTCCTTGTTGACACTATTAGAGGGAGGAAGTGTTGTCATGATTTGGTCCGAGGACTCGAATTAACGAGATGAGAACAGATAATCGGACGGTTATTTAAATTTCGTTTGCTAAAATTCTCAACTCTAACTATTTCCAACATACTAAAAGAGCCGCTACAATCGAAATGCATTTTAATGAAATAAATATTATACCTATTTCAACAAATATATTTCTCTTGTAGTGTAGAACCTAAGATACTCTCTCTCTCTCTCTCTCTCTCTCTCTCTCTCTCTCAAATGTATATAGGCATTTCAAATAATTTAAATGAGTCAAAGAGGAAAGAATGTGTATCATAGGTGTGACGCTTCCAGAGAAAGGCATTTGTTGAATAATTACAGTTTTTTTCCATTAAAATGCATTTCAGGTTGTAGCGGTTCTTTCAGTATATTGGAAATAGTTATATTTAGAAGTTTTACCAAAATAAATTTAAATAAATGTCCAATTATACTTGTCAAAGGTGAATGGCGCACCACGGTGTAAAGCTCCTCGTGAAGCCATGATGAATAGAGCATGGCGAGGCGAGCCTCATTTTAAATAAGACATTATATATATACCAAATACCATTAAATAGCATACAATATGTTAATTTAAGCAAAATTAAGCATAAATATTTTGTCAAACAATAAAATTAACAACTTTAAATCCTACAGAAACTTACATTGATAGATTTGAGCAAGATTTAAACATAATTTGGCATAAATCCTATCAATTAATTTAAAAAACTTTAAATCCTACAAAAATCATTAAGATTTTTTTTTTATATTTTATTAATTTGATGTTTAATTAATTAATAATTACTTGTAATATTAATATATAAATCTTAAATATATATATATATATATATCAAGTATATGGATATTCAAAAGATGGAATCAACATGAGGTCATTGGGCTCTGACAATCTATGGCAAGCCAACTATGGTTTTTGAAGCAAAGCTGTGATAAATCAACGACCTCAACCTTCTTTGACTAATTCCAGCAAAGCTCACAATCATCTACGGTGGAGGTCCAACAAACTCTGATGGTGCTCTAAAGTGCTCCCACAATATCTTGACCAGCCAATTGAACTTTGGCAAGCACCCATTAAAAAAAATTTAAAAAATGTAAGAAATAACAATTAAAACTACCTTAAACCATAAATTGTTTTTTAAATATGGGCTAAATCCACGTCTAGTCAAATAAAACAATTTGGTTCTCAAATTTGTGATAAAAATTATAAATCCTGCAAATCAACAAAAAATTTGCAGTTCATCCAAGCAAATAAGCTTTAACAAGAGGGACGCAATTTAGTAGATGAACAGATGTAATAATATTGGGTTGGAAAGGTAAAGAGAAAAGAAGTTATAAGCAAATGATCCTAAGAAAAATGCATTATCTTGACCACAACAAAACCATTGTACAAAAAGAATAAAACTATAGGGAGAACAGACTGAAATCTGATAGATTTCCTAAAGCCAAATACAAGTCTAAATACTTTATTCTAGCAAATATATCATGGCTTTGATTGAGTACATAGCTTTTCCAAAAAAAGCAATTTTGATTTACGTTAAAAATGCCCATTATAAATTCCCAACTCAAAAATGAACCCTCCATAGCTTCATGACCATGAGGAATACAGTTACTGAGGTTACTCATCCGTCTCAGCCAACACAATTCTAACAAAGAATTTTCCTTTAACTGATCGATAGCATTATAACTTAACTCTATTATTATTCCAAACAACATAAATTTGACAAAACTTAAGAGTTACTGCTAATATATATAGATAGTCCTCAAAAGCAAAGGACACAGTACTGAATGTGTTAACATATGATTCATATCCAATCCATGTCCCACCCTACTCAACCATAACAACAACAACAACATCAAGACTTTATCCCACTATATGGGGTCGGCTACATGAATCCTTTTTCTCCATTGTGTTTTGTTAAAAGTCAAAATTTTTATTTAAATTTAATAAAGAAATGTCATTTCTAATATTTTCTAACCAAGCCTGTTTAGGTCTACGTCTACCTTTCTTAACATAACCCAAATCAAATACATCTACTTTCCTAACTAGTTCATTGGAAGGCCGCCATTTTATGTGACCAAACCATCTAAGGCGACCCCTTATCTTATCTTCTATTGGAGCTACTCCAGCCTTTTCACATATATGCTCCTGTCGTATCTTGTCTCTAAGAGTAGGCCACTCATCCACCTGAGTATCATCATCTCTGCAACACTTAACTTAATATTATGCTTCTCTTTTAATAGCCAACATTATGCATAATAGAGCATTACAGGCCTCACCACCATCTTATAGAATTTTCCCTAATTTGAGGGGGGCATTTCTATCACACAACAAGCCCGATGCATTCCTCCACTTCAACCATTCAACTTGAATTCTGCTAATAATATCCCCATCTATTTAACCATCACTCTAAACAATAGACCTAAGATATCTAAAACATAAAAAAGGTTGGAGTACGAGATAAACAATACATATAACTTAAGTCTATAAACCACCCTACCCAAGCATTGGGCCACAAATATCATCGACTTATTTCTATTGCAATACAAGATAAACAATACATATAACTTAAATCTATAAACCACAATAAGTGTCCTGACTAAGCATCATCGTATCTCGCTTCAAAAATATCGCAATACCATAAACTTGTATAAAAACAAAACCTAGATTAGCAAATGCAATCTCCATTACCTGTTTGGGTACTTCGTAAGAGGATATCTCACCATCTTGTGAAATACCACCGCTGGATTCTGAAGTATCATCATGCCCTTCACCAACATGCTTAATTGAAAAACAAAGAATTATTTAGAGGAATCCAAATTAAGGAAGCATAATTAAGATAGAAATAAACAGGTACCTGTTCCTCTGTTTGAGTACTAGCTTTTTTACTCTCAACCATGTTATCAGTTCCAGACTCAACTGCAATATCAAGATTGCCTGTTGATCCATCCTGTTATAATAGTGCATAGTAAAAACTCATAGTGAATTGGAACGGCATATAAAAAAATGCATGAAGAAAATAAGAATGCAGGAACTGCGTAAAGGAAAAACATATCATCTACAAGATGATAAAGTCTTAAACAAGAACTAAGCAGAGAAAAACACAGATATTGTAAGGAAATGAAGCTATATCTTCTGAACTTCTATTTCCAACAAATCAGATTGTGACACATTCACAAAGGAGAAGTATGGCTCCAATCAGAATTAGATAATCTAACAATTAAAGTGCGTCTTTGGTCCTATTTCCAACAAATAAAATTGAAACATCACAAATGAGAAGTATGGCTCCACCAAAGATAGGCAACCTAACGACTAATGCATAGAGCACCTGCATTAACGGGAATATGGAGTGTACTTATGCTAACAGGATTTGTAGCTATCAACAACAACAACATCAAATCTTTATCTTACTACGTGGGGTTACCTACATGAATCATTTTTCTCCATTGTGTCCTACTAAGAGTTCATTTAAATCTAAGTGGAATAAAAACATGAAACTTTGAGTAATTTATCACAACTGTAATCAACAAATCGTGCAAGCACATAAGAATGTATGTGTTATGATATTGCTTAAATTTGGCAATGTTTGCACTAGCATGGATCGATTATGAGACACGAAGCTACAGTAACATAATCAGGCAAGCATATGATAATGCATGTATGTGAGTATCAATTGGTCTACTCTAACAAATCTCAAAGATCGTTGTGTCGCCTTCCAGTCTAACACACGAAATGCTTCATATATTCATAAATGAAATCACAATCAACTTTCTAATTTTATCCATTCAATCAAATACAGATTTCTCATTAAGATCTCATTCAGCATGTTTATGTGAAGTAAACGCACTGCAATCAGCATAGTCTGCCCTAATATGCAAAAGCAGAGCATAATACTACTTTGTTCTACAAGAATTTTTTAATTGGCATTACACAAAACTGTGCACCTACTAACTGACCCCAACAAGTCGGCTGCATGGAATGTGTTTGGTTCAACATATTCCGCATTGATTACACAAGTCTAAATGATCTCTGCTTAAAGATCTTGATAGTATCAATGACAACAATAATTAGTTATTGAAAGCAATAAAGCTGCACCTCAAAGGGAGGATCAAAATCAGAATTAAACTTTATAGAAAAAATAATGATCACACTAACCTGCTCATGATTCTCCATTGTGTCAAAAATTTGAGTTTCATCTGCTTTTATCTCTTGTTCCTTGGATTTCTCCTCCTCTTCCCTTAAGCTCTTTTCTTCCTTCTCCTTTTTCAATCGTTCTTCCTCCTCCAGTTTATCTATTCTTTCCTTTTGCTCTGATGCAAGCCAACCAAGAATGTTACTATGATACAAAGCCTGATAAATAGATAAGCCCAAAAACCTCATAATTATAGAGATGGGAATAATTAATATTTAGTTCTCTAACAGGATGATCCTAAATTGAACTAATATAAGAAAATTCTTGAAAATATAGGACATGGGGAATGTGAAAATATATAGTGGCATAGGTGTTATTTACCTTTGCCTTCTAAAGAGGATGTGAAAATTTATATTCCCTAATAAAAGACACCATAAAATGTTAAAATCAGTAATCATTTTCCATTGTATCCTTGCCGTGTCAGACACGTCTCAACTTTTTTTTTTAGATTTCATGCATGATTTTGCTAAGTACAACAAATGTTGATGCCCAAGGGCACACGTCCAAATCATACACAAGTATGGTACTTCGGAGCTTTTACAAATGCTAGATATGGAAATTAATAAAAGCTATGTTTGTTTAGGCCAAAAAAAAAAAAAACATATTGCAAAAATTGCTAGACATCTTAGCACAACAAGCTGATATCCATATATTTATCAGTTTTAGTGAGCTATCCTTTATATTATTTGCATCGATTTGGTACTTCTACACATTTGATCTCTCCAATCAAAATAAAATAAGCATGAAAAGTCAATATAAAATCTGTATATAAAAAATTGTAGGCATCATTTTCCATGATCATTACAATCTTTATATTCCTAAGTGCAAAGACTCCTTTGCTAAAGTCTTTTACATATAGGTGTCAATCGAAGAGTTACCAACGAGTATTTCCATTTTCCGTTAACAAAGTAAATGTATGGACATGGGAAATTTTACAGAAAGGAAGCATTGATATGCTCTAAAACAGCATGTGCTTGATAATATAAACTGCCAAGAATACCAAACGGAAATAACACTTTAAAATAAACAAATCAAGACAATGGTTACACAAAAATGTACTTTAACCGTAAAGCTTTAACTTTTGACCATCCTGTTAAATTATACGTGGCCAACATAATTGACTGATCAGAAAGTTGTAGCTCTAAGTTCACCCAGCTTCGGCTAATTTAGAATAAGCACATAAGTTTACATCTAAATAAAGGAAATACCCTCATTTAGCTAGAAAATTCATTCACAAGCCTCACCTCTAAGTTTTTGCACCAACTCTTTGAGCACCTTCTCATCACTTTTTAGCTTTGCAAGGTCTGCCTCGTCTTTAGCATATGCATTATTTGCCTTTTCTACTTCGTCTTTCCTAATAATAAGTCCTTCCTTAAATGTTTCTATTTTCTTCTTCAGTTTTTCTCTAGCAACCTTTCCTGCTTCCCAGCATGTATTTGTACAATTTGCATTGCTATTATATTCATCACTCCCGTCGCAGCAATCTGCATGGATAGAAACAAGATTAAACATTTAAGCTTAAAATTGCATGCCATAAATAACAATAAGTTATCTCCTCCTTTAAATAAACATAAGAAGCGTAGAAGACTAAATATGCATAAATAAACATCTGTATTTATCCATATTGAAATAAATAAATAAATATTATTACAATAATGGGGTATGGAAATAAAAGGTTCTCTAAAATTCAAATTTGTGACTGCCCACAAACGAGTTTCTATCAAGCCGTACCATAAAACACCAAAAAAGGGTAGTAATTGCTCTAACTAAAAAAAAACGAAAAAAAAAAAACTAAAAACTAAAAACAAAAGACCATCGAATGAGGGGGATCATGGAAGCCAAGTCATCATCATCATTTTCCTCATCCAAACCATTTAAAATCAATTATACAAATCCCCATTCTCCACACAATTCAATTAAGTGTTTCATGAGGTGTTATGCTTATTTAATGAAAATCTATTTGAACACCTTGTATCCATATTAACTTTGATCTAACCATTTTCCTTCATAATCCTTCAACATCAATTGTATCTACCCACCTTATTAATGACTCTATAACACTTCGCTGTAAATGATCTGACCACCTTAATTTATTTCCCACAAACTTAACTTTCATAGATGTGACTCCCACCATCGAACTAATATAATTATTTCTCAATCCATCATTCCTTTTTTTTGTCACACAAACATCTTAGTTTATCATTATTGTCATATTCATTTTGAATAGAAATGACTTCTTTACTGCCCCACATATAGATTCATACAAAAAGATCATAGGACTAATTGTAATTTTAGAAATTTCAGGTCCACTTGATACCAAGGAAAAATTAAGTTATAATAACACATGTAGGTTATTTTATAAGTAAGCAATTCTACAAAAATTTGTCAGAGTGCCTGACCTATTTAAATGTTAGCCTACATATTTTAGAGTAAATCCACTTAGATCTCTCTAAACAAAATCCTAAGTGCAGCAGAAATAAGTTCACCTTAGCCACTTAGATGATGACAAGTACATAACAATAAAAATAAGTTGCCATGCCATCTGCCATTGGGCGCATTATCTAATCATATTGCCCCTTAATTATTACTTTACTCCGAAAGGGTAGGTATGGGGTTCCAATCCCTAATTAAAAACTTTTAGGGAGTAACTTATCCAATTAATTCGATCACTAAAACTCATAGTAAATCACAATTCACAACTGTAATGGCCATAAGGAATTCTAAATTTTCCATAGAGTCAAATAATGTTATTCTGCAAGTCGATGACAAGATAAGGTTAAAAACTAGCAAGCGGGATAGTCACTGTAAATAAAGATAACCAGTTTCAGTATATCTGAGAACACGCATGCACTGTACAAAGTAATTGATAAAATAGGAATGCTAAACTGTACAGATAAGAGAAATAAATGCTGCTTTCTTTTCTTTTCAGCAGCAAATTATCAACAAAAATTCAGGCTTCATTTGGGACGGCTTTCTTCATGCTTCTTTCTTCATGCTTCTTAAAACGACTTTCTAGTACAAAAATTTTAACTTTTTAACTAGAAAGCCGCTTTAAGAAGCAGGAAGAAAACCGCCCCAAACAAAGCCTCAGTCTACCTCGGAAGTTTAAACATAAATAACAGCTCAAAAGAATGCCACTATGAAGTTCTTACCGCATACGCCATCATTAACCCGGGAAGAAAAAATTTTAATTGGAGTGTGTCCAGCATTCTGGCAGTAAAATTTTCCCTCTGGACAAGCCGAAGTTCCTGCATCAAACAAAATACTACACAAATCAGCAAAAGCGCATCATAAAATAGCAGTAGCATCACAACAGTAGTATCTTAGCCTTATCCATCTCTCCATCAAAGATGAATACTTCAAAGACATCCCCTAATGTATGTGAAACAAAAGATTACAAGAACACAATCCAATAAATATTTTTTTTTGTTGGATATTCCAATAATATTTAAAATTTGAAAGATTTGGAAATCTATAAATACAAACAATGAGACATGGTTGTAGAAGATACATTGGTTAATATTATAGCAAATTACAATTCCCTTACGTTTTTTATACATTCTTATCAACTATGTGCGAACATATACGTGTAAGATACGTGCCTATGCATTAGAGAGAAAGAGAGATCAGCATAAGTTAAAATTTCCCCTAATCAAGAGAGTTCGTCATTAAGAAATCAGGCAAATAAAGCCCCATTGATGCCCAAAAAAAAGTGACAGTTCAACGAGGGAGACCTGGCTCGTCCGTTCCATCCGGGCAGTCACAGAACTCGTCGTTAAGCAGTTCTTTTGCGAATTTCTTTGATCCATCCTTGCATTTAATCACATTGGATTTGTAAAAGCTCAAATCTGTAAATCAGGGGCTTGGAACAAATCATACTCTACAAACAAATAAACAAACGGGCAGAAATAAAGAGAGTTGCAGTCAGACAATAGCACAGTACCTTGGGGATCAATGCCCAACAATTGCTTATTAGGGATTGGAGTCGCCCCATAGACCCAGACGACGAAAAAACTCGTCAGAAGAAGGGCGAATCGAAGGCGAATCTCCATCAAATCTTCGTTTATACAAAAAAGCAAAAAATTCGCGAAGATCAACGGCGAAAGAGATCGGGTAGTTCGAAAGAGAAGTAAGAAGGCAGCAGTGGAAACTAAGAAGTACGGAAATTTTGGAAATTTCTGGGAGCTCGGGAGTAAACTCCGGCCTGCATTGAGCGGTTCAGTACGGTCCACTGTCGTGTTGAGCTGGGTTTCGTTTGGAATGACTTTTTTGCTGCGTTCTAGAGTAGCTTTTAGTTTTTAAAAAAGTAGCAAATAAGCCGTCCCAAATCAACCTTATACCTGCTTGATACCAAAACTATCCGAGTTAAAAATTTTAAATTTATTTTCAAAAATATAAACAAACTCCATCCCATTAACATTTATTACAAACCTTATGCAGCAGAGTAAATTTTTTAAAAAAATTGAAATATATATACTTTTTTAAAAAAATTTAGTTCATTGTAAAATAAATCCAATATGACATATATTTTTATATTTTATTGATTTAGAAATAAAATATATTATAATTTGATTATTATCTATGGCAAAATTTAGGGTAGAGATGACATAGGTATGAAAATATTGGCTTTAGGTCATCAGGTTGATCGGTGCAAGTGGAGTCACTAATACGAGGGTCGAGGTCATTGTCAAGGGCGGAATCATCGTAACGGCAGGGGGCAATTGCATATGTATGCTTTTGTGATCGAGGTGCTAGAAATTGTTAAGGAAAAAAGGGTTCATGATCAACAATCGGTTGAAATAGGTGTTTTGATTGATAAATTTAGTCTTTTGATTTTATTTTTACAATGCATTTGATGATTGATATATTGACATTATGAATGAGTTATCACAATTATTGAAAAGAAAATATCAAGATATTGAAAATGCGATGAAATCGGTGCAAATATGTAAACAACGACTGCAAATGCTAAGGGAGAATGAATGTAATATTTAATTAGATGAAGTGTCACGTTTTGTGGTGCTTTTGAAGTTGTTGTTCCAAACATGTATGAAACAAATATAACTCATCGTCCGATCAATGCGAAGAGGTAAATAAATAATAAATCTACATTATTTGTTGAGCTATTTTACAATGTAATCAAAATACAACTTCAAGAGATAAATAATCATTTTTTTCTAAATCAAGTACTGAGTTGCTTCTTTGTGTAACATGCTTATACCCAAGTGATTCTTTTCAAGCTTATGATGAGAGGAAATTGATATGTCTAACAGAGTTATATTAAAGTGATTTTTTTTTAATAATTGAGGTAGCAGTTCTTAAAAGTCAATTATCAATTTATATTATTAATATGCAGACCAATTAAGAGTTCTTTCTAAGAAGCATTGTTGATCTTGCAAGCAAATTGTTAAGTTCAAGACGGATGGTGTGTATTATTTGGTTTACAAACTTATTACTTTAGCAATAACTTTACCAGTTACTGCTGCTATAATGAGAGAGCATTTTCACTAATGAAAATTATCAAACATCGATTACTTAGTATGATGGGTGATGATTCGCTCAACAATGGTTTTGTGCCTTACATTAAAAAATGGGGGGGAGTAGTTACATTATTTTGGTTATTATGTTCAAAAAGATCATAGCCGTTCATCATTATGTTGGGCTGTAAGAATGGGCTTAATTTTTTGTTATCTTGGCTAATATGATGATCGCCATGGCCCATAAATGGTAGCCCATAAGGAAATGGTCCAAATCAATAAAACTAGTCCAAGGAACAAGATGTAATGTGAGTTAACATTAGGTTATCTCCAATTTAAGCAAAATAAATGAAATTTTTTAAGCGAGGATGAATTTTAATAATATTAATTTTTTTTTAAAAAAAATATTATGTAAAAATTAAGCAATTACCTTTGCATTATATTTATCTCAAAATAAATCAAACTATATAGAGAATCATCATGGCCAGTGGTGTCAAAATCGGATTTCGGATCAGGTTCAAATATAATCTAAAATTGACCTGGTACTTTTGACAAAACCCAAACCAACCCGTTTTTAAAAATGGGTCACTTTCCATTCGAACCCGGGTCAACTTGACATCACCCGCCAACCCGTTTAAAAATACAACAAGCAGGTTTACAGCAATTCTAAGAGAGCAGCTTTCACTGACAGCAGGTTTCACAAATAATTGGTTTCACATTCTCAAGTTTAATAACAATAACAAGTTTACAAAATACAAACTAAAAATTATAAATTCTAAAGTCAAAATTACAAATCAATTAACAAAATACAAAACATTTTACAACAATTTAAATTGGACATATCACATTTTTACATTTTGTTGCTTTACTGAATTAAAAATCAATTTACAAAATACAAAATAGTTTACAACAAGTCTGAATATGGATTATGAAATACAAGAATTTACTCTTTGCTCATTTGCTCAATTGCTCCCCAAAAAATTGCTCAAGAAGAATCTGTCTTTGTATAAATTTAACTGCAATAAAATCAGTCAAATAGCTAGAAAACATGAATACATAGCTTAGATTATTAACCCTCTAAATCATTAATTAACTAATGAATTGTAAGTGTAATAAATATTACCTTCCAAGGTGGTAGTTTGTATTAGCTTAGTATATGTTCAATTTGATAGTATTTGTACATTTTAAGAGAATACAAATGCTACCTGGTTGTAATAGCACTTACTCTGATTGGATTCCCACATTCATTTTAGAAGTTTTATAATTGTGGCTTCATAAAATTAAAACGATATATAACAGCAGGTTTCAGCTATATAAGCTAATAACGTAGCAGCCATAATAAAGATGAAACAAAACAAGTAAATATTCTGCATATGATTTGGTTGTATTCTCTAATCATAAGAGGCTACACAATGGCAGCTTGTATAAGATTAGTTAGTTAGATTGTATTTGTGTAAACCAATTAAAATCATCCAATAACTGAACTTTCAGATGCTACTGTAGTTATTGGAATGCAGTCAATGCACAATACATCACGAGCTATAGCATAAACACTAGGAAATTTATAAAGGTTGCCTTGTCAGAATTTTAATATATCTAAAACAATCTTTCTATCAAATTTTGGTCATCAAGATAAATATCTAATTCTGATTGCCTATGCATTACGACTTCCTTCTCAAATGAATCAAAATCATGTTTTTGAAATTCATCATAACTCATAAAACAAAAACAAAAAGTATTATTGAAGGAGCTAGTGACAATACTAGTAATGAAGATACAACCTGTAGAAAGATCATTGGTGATGATGTACTCCTTGATGCAACTTTTTCTACCAATTTAGATGCATGTGAATGTTGCCCTGATAAATCATGCCCTCTAACTATAGTTTGCAAACTAGAAGATTAACTTAAGTTTAATCTTTCTTAATTTGAAGAGATAATCTTCATTATACAATCTCCTATAACATTACTCAACAAAAATAAATTTATATCGTGTATCTAAAATGATAGTTATTGCCAACATATCACTCAATTTTGAACAATATTTCTCAAACTTATCAATCATCCATATAGCCATCTTCTTTATGTATTGATGGCCATTTAAAATTTCATTTTTCAATTCTGCATACATTGTTGAAATACATGAAAAGTATAAATTTGATGTTGGGTATTTTGACCACGAAATGACATAAGTGATCTTATAAAAAGGAGCCAAAATTTGCAAATAGCCTCAACTTTTTCTCATTCGAGAATAATACGACAATTCTTGTAATTTGAATCAACCAACTCTAAATGTTGAAAAGCCTATCGAAAATAGATAGCGCTATCAAGCATAATAAAGGTGGAGTTCAATCTAGTTGGAACATCCTGACACAAACCTTTATATCCATCTAAGCAACTTTGTTTGACATAATCAAGAAACTTTTGTTTTCTTGCATGAGAGCCTTTCACATACTTAGTATTCTCTCTGATTTTTGATATTGAACAATCAATCTCCTTCAATCTTCTTGCACTATGAGATTAACAATATGGACAGTACAATGCACGTGAAAAAAATCGCCATGACATAACAAACCATCACGTAAATTTAAATGATTTCTTAGAAAATCAACTTAAACATTATTTGCAGAAGCATTATCTAAAGTAATTTGAAAAGAGGGTTAATCACTTAGGATCTAATTAATTAGGGAAACTATAGTTATTGATCACATACCAATTTGATTGCAATTTGAAAAGACAAATTAGGCCCTATAGTTTTCATAAAATCATAATTCTCCTGTTTGATATGAGGCTAAATTCAATATTCTTATCTTAGGAATATGTAAATAGAATAACACAAGGATCTTAGATTTTTTTCAAGCTATATGTTCATATTGCACATTGCATGTTATAAAACGACCATTAAGCCACTAACAATTTTGCTTAAGTGTTATTACCATTGATCTCCAAACTAAAAGTTAAAGGGTGAAAACCCTAAGAGAGAAATAAAATAAAATAAAATAAAAGGCCATCAAATCCAAACATTATTGAGTGGGTATAAATACCAAAACTCATTTCAGAATATATTCATGACCAACCTTTAAAAAAATCTTAGTTAAGATCAATATTAATCGTAAAAAATCTCATCTCCAACAAATATAAGATCTAAGGATTGAGTTCTAATCTCTGAAATTTTTTGTTCCTATGGTCGAATTGACTGTAGAGATGCGATTGAATCAAAATTTAATAGGTCAATCTTAATCATTAAAAAAATAATAATTTAAACTCAAATCAAATAGACCTCAACTACACTATATATTCCATTTCAGATTAATCGTGGAGCTCATTCAAACAAAATTTCTCTTAATTATATATTTTTTTCAAAAAATTAAAATAATAAAATACACTCCATCAAGTCGACGTAAATCAATTCTAATTTTGAATTTTGGGTTATCAAACAAGTGTTAGCCCAAAGGGTCAACTTGAACAAATTGTTGATGCCTTGTTTGGGTTCTCCTTTCACCTCTCCTTTTCCCTTTAAAAAAAAAAAACCTGATTCTAATTCCTTTTAATAAACTATAAGCATCAACAATCTTGTCATGCATTCCTACGTGTTTCAATTTGGTTTGTTTGCTTCTAACTTCTAACTTCTTTTATGCACATGAAAATAATTATTTGGTGCAATTAAGCTTACCTATATCTAGTTATGCTCATTTAATCATGACTTTTATATGTAAAAAGTAATACATGAATAAAGTAGTGAACATTTCTTTATTTCTTTAAATCATATTGTTATATATTTTTTTTCTAACAAGAAGCTTTTTCACCTAATTTTTAGTTGATAAAAATATTAAAAATTATATACATATACAATTTTTAGCCTCAATAATTTTGCTTTAATTTTACTTCCATCCTTATAATTTAAATTTATTACAAATCTCAAATTATATAATGATGAAATCAAAATTTGGCTTTACAAAATGGCAAAATATCAACTTATCATGAATCGACACAATCGAACTATTGGCTTATATAAGTTAGCATGGACAATATATTGTATAGGTGAAATTGACCTTATCTGATATGTCGTTTGGATTATGGATATGAACACAATAAATTTAAATTAAAAGGACTTGATTGAGATAATTTAAACTAATTATAAACTAATTTAGACCAAAAAAAAAAAACAAATACCTAATGTGATAGGTAATGACGGGTTTAAAAGAGAGCCACTGGGGGCACATGTCCATTATAAAATATTAAAAATATATTTATCAATAATATTTTTTTACTTATTTAAATATATTTTTTTGATTAAATTATTTAATGATAGTTTTAAAATAGTCAAATTATACCCTACTGATAAATTTAATTATTTTTAAGATAATTTATATCAGAATATTCATATAAGCAGAGAGAGAGAGAGAGCAGTGGTTAAAAGGAAGCTAATTAGCTTTTCAAAACAATTATATTATAAAGCACAATTAGTGGTCGACAAAAATTATAAGCAGAATCTTACAGTAGCTTTTTTGGTGAATCCAGCTTACAGGTGTCACTTATCTGCGCTTCGGAATCTCATAGTAGCTTCGCAGTGACTTCACTTCCAGCGTTCTACGGCAATCCATCTGCAATGTAGATATCCAGGTAATCTTCTGATACATAAAAACCACTGGCATAAACTTATTATACAAGACCAAACGCTCAAGTTCATGAGTTCACATAAAAATTTTCATCAATCACTTTGATGTTATAGTGTTGAAGAAATTTTCATTTTGGTTTTTTATGATTGCTAGCGGCCAAAACTTTAAATTGTATTCACATCTAAGGCTTTCTTTGAGACAGCTTTTTAATACAGTTCTAGAAAATTTTTATTAAAAAATTGCTTTAGAAAACGGTAAGAAAATTGTTTCAAATGAAGACTAATACTTCATACTTACCATCATTTGTTGCTCTACAAATAAAGAATAAATCGATTGTTGCAAGAGATCATTCATTCTTCTTTGCTCCACAAAAGTAACACAATTAAAACGTTAAAAAGCAGTTTTCATATTTTAATTGTAGTTGCTTAAGGCTTCATTTGAGGCAGCTTTTTGTTACTTTTTAAAGTGTCTTTTTTTACAAAAATTTCTAGTTTAAAAAAGTTGCTTTAGAAAATAGTTAAAAACATGTCCCAAACCAAACCTAAATCTTGATAAATCATGGGTTGTTAAATTCTGAAATAGTTTAGCATGATGGATCTTAAATATGTTTGAACTTGATTGAATCCAAGAAAATTATCTGGCAAATATTTTGAATTGAAGATTGAGGATTTAACGAAGATTGAGGATTTAACTGAAGGAGAAGAAGAGGCATGATATAGAGAAGTGGTGTAAACCTCTTGGGTTCTGCATCCCCAAGATTTACTAAATATGTGATTTAGCCGAAAATGGAAGAAAACAGGATTTGAGAAGGCAATAAGATTTATGTGGCTCGATATACTGTTTGCCATGATTTAGCCTAAATCTTAACCAAATTTTGATTAAACCTTGCAACCAAACACCCCCTAAATCTGAATATACAAGGCTTATTGAATCCTACATAAGACAAACAGCCCCTTAACCGCACACAGAGAAACAAAAAAATGTGACAGCTAAGACCATCTCCAACCGAACTCCATACCACTGTATGCCATCCGTTATTTGCTCCATTCAAACTCCAAATGGCACGTCAAATTCCGGTAGGTGAACAATGCGACGCCAATATTGGAGTTGGACTGTTCGCCTAAGCCAGAAAAATTGGCTGCGGATTTGCCAAAGAAGCGCGCAAAAGAGGAGAAAAGCACGCCAAAGATGGTTATCATTGCAGAAAGCGCGCGAAAGAAGAAATAACATTCGATTGGAGAAGAATGAATGCATTTTAAAGTTTTACTGCATTTTAGAGTGTAAAATAGGCTTTTCGGTTGGAGATACCCTAAAGACATGCTGTCGAAACTAAAATATTTTAAAAAACCATCTAAGCAAGGAAACATAAGGTTGAACGACAATTTCCCCTATTGATGATTCTAAGCTTACAAGGAAATATAATCATTAAGCATATTATGCTCTATTTTTATAAAAAAAACAAAGATATTCTCTATTTTGCACCGACAACATGAGCTAGAAGTATTTTAACAAAGATAATTGCAGGTAAGTGTTACTACAGGAAGCAAATATATATTCCATAATCCTAATATTCTTTTCGGGCTGAGCAACTCATAATATTTTCTTCTTTCCATTTCTTCTCTTAAAATAAAGAACCTGATTCCAAGGGGAAAAAATGCAACCGTCAATCCCTTGCATTTCCTTTCTTTTCTCGAATTATAATTTTCCCCAAAACCACAAATACTGCAATAGAATAAAAGCAAATGCTATGAAAACATTTATCTGCATAAAAAGATGCATGAAACAACAGGGCGTATAAAGTTACATAAATTGATAGCTTAAAGGGAAAAAATAACAGGTAAAATGCTTAGTGCAACAAAAACTATCTCACAGTTCAAATAAATGGTGATTTTTTTAATGCCAGAATGACATTCCAAATGTGACAGTCCCCTTTGGGCTATAGACATGGACCCATGCGGTTCCATGTGAGTTGGACTATATGGAACTATTATAAAGAAGATTTTCTCATCCAAGTCAAGCCGAGCATACTCGGTGCATTAAGGTTTTGACAATGTGTTAGACCGGCCCCTTCTAAGGAGACGGTTCATGTTTACAGGAGGGGTGGAGTCCACTGAGTTCAAATTCAAATTTGGAGCCAAATGAGGGGGTGGCAAGGGATTTTAGGTCTTTTTGTCTTTTTGTTTTAAGTGTATGGCTTAAGTATGGGAGGGAGATTAGGGTTACGGTTATGTTTGATGTTTTGGACTCTAGACTCATCTAGAAATTGGGAGAGAACGATCCTCCTCTTGAATTGAGGATCAATTGTATCTTTGCTTTCGTTGTTTCCATTAGTTCTCTCTTTTGCAATCCAATTATGGTATGGAGACTTATTCACCAAATTTTGTGTGATTTGATTGCTATTTTTCTCTATTATTGTTAGAGTTTACTTGAAACATTCAAGTATTTCCTATCACAATGCAAGATTTGGCTCCTTAAAAATATCATGCGCAAAACACCTAATAGTCCCTGCCCAAGCCAACCCTACCATAGTATGCGGCAAACTTATTTAATACTCTATTTTCTATGTGTAGTAGTATCAAAGCTCTAATAACTTGAGCTATGGAACGTATGGAAAGAGTTTGGCATATTTTTCTTTATATATTAAAGGAGCGGTCTTGAAATATCAACCTATGCAGTTTGAGACTGAGGCAAAATATCAACTAATATTCTACTCCTAACAACTGATGAAAGCTGTCAATCATAAATAAATAGAATTATTCCAAACTCAGATGCCTTTCTATCTTAGCATTACTTTAAGTTGTAGGATGCCATATAGGTTAGAAGAAATGATAATCAACTTCATGCGCATGGAGGGTGGATTCTTGCACTTTTTATCGACTTTTTATTTTGTGCAAACACCGGACGGAGAGAACCGTTGGGTTTTCTCCGTCCGGTTTTCTCTCTATCTACAGTAAGGCGCAGTTAAAGTGCAACTGCTACAGTAACTATGCTTTTACTATATATAGAGGAAAAGCCGGACAATTTTCTCCTGTCCGGTGTCCGCACAGAATAATCTCTCCTTTTTATCAATTTGCTTTATTCAAAATTTTTTCTTTTTTCATTGATGATGACGAAGAATTACACATTAATACTAAAATTTCTATGTTATATATCACATTTCCAACTGCCTTTTGATTCTGTCCAACTAACAATTAATCTAAATACTTAAGATTAGGATTCTAAGTAAACAAGTGCACTCTATGAACGTTCATATAATGATTTTTTATGTTTGTTTATTTACATAATTTAATAAGCTCGAACAAAATTTTAAAAGGTTATCATATAAATGAACACATTTGAACATTGACTTTCTTGTTCATTTATATTCGTAAACATGCTAGTTTTATTGACTAACAAGTAGCTAGCTAAAAATACTACAAAAGAATCATTTAATAATGAGACAAAAGAATCATTTAATAATGACTTAATCTTTATATGATGACTTATTCAATATTATTGAATCAAATTTCTTATAATTTTTACGTTTTGAAATTTATATATATTATTAGATGTATATTTGTGATTAAAATATTAAATAAATAGCTAAATATATAGATTTAAATATTTTTTATTATTATTATTTAAACATCACCAAACAACTTAAATAACACCTAACAAATTAAGCCAATTTTTATTAAAATCTATAAATTCAATTATATATGATAATTAGGATACGTGCTTAAATTATAAGTATCAAACATATTATTAATTAGGCATGATTAAAGCTTAATTTCAGCTCAAATCTCAATAAGAAAATTAATGAACAAGTTTGAACAATATTTTAAAACTTGAATCATGTTCAAGCTCAGCTAGAACTCGATAAATAAATAAATAAATGATGTTGAACAATGTATTAATTGATTCGATTTAATTCATTTACGGCCCCCACTTAAGGAGATATTATTCTGTGCGGACACCGGACGGGAACGGTCCGGTTTTGTCTCTATGAACAGTAAAAGTGCAGTTCACAGTTCTCCCCGTTTGGTGTCCGCACAAAATAATTCATCCTACTTAAGACAAGATTAATAGGATGTCAAAGTAGAGGAAAGACACAATATGCTTAGACGTATGTGGAACTTAATTTTAGTTAATGAGCTATGAAGTGGCTTAATACAGCGTCAATAATTTATAGTAAATCTCCTTGAATCAACATCATCTCCATGAACAATAGAGGAAAATCCAAAACTCCACAGCCTTGAGGTAGTCAACTTATAAATCAAGCAAACACACCATAAGATAACGCAATTGAAGAGGCCTCGTATTAAAATGGAAATGAAAAGGAAGATAGTACCAGGTGAGTTATCCAACTCCGAAAGGAGAGGATCATTTCGTTTAAAGATCCAGACGTGAACAGGAGAAAGCAATTATGCAAATATTCTTTCTTTTCTATGAAAGGAAATGATTCTCCTAACTTGCCTGTGAAGGAAGAACAACGATGGCAAGTCTTTGGCTGGAACTAAATGACAATATATGCCAGAATGAATGATTTACGGTAATTAGCATATGTTAGAAGCCGTTAACTTGGATGCTACTTTTGGGCAAATAAAGTTGAGGACACCAAGAATTTCAACCTTTCCACAATGGTCTGATGCCATTATAATTGTCATCATGCATTCCTAACTACTTTTAATCTAAGTCATTTTTTGTGGCATACACAAACTAACACCAACATCAAATCTTTATCCCACTAAATGAGATCGGCTATATGAATCATTTTCTCCATTGTGTCCTATTAAGAGTTAAATTCTCATCTAAATCTAATAAAAAAGGTCATTTCTAATGTTTTTAGACCATATCTTTTACGTCTATCTCTACCTTTCTTAACATAAGTCAAATCTAATATAGATACTCATCGGGTCATCGGAAGGCCAATGTTTTGCGTCATACACATCTTTAATAATTTTAATATACCTTTGACACATTTTTCCCTTCATATAATTCTATAAGTCCTCATGATACTTAATTAAATGTCAAGTTAAAAAATAATCAAATGAATATTCTTTCATAGATATCTATATTTTTCCCATGCTACCTTAAGGGAAAAAAAACCTCAATAATAGATTTTTCTTGATATAAAATTAAATTTCTAATTTTTTATGCTTATATTCCTAATCATAAATTAACCTAAGAAACTTATTAGCTTTAAGTTTAAAGGTATACTATTATTATTCTGCCCCAGCATGCCACCAGTTAATAGAATATTCAACTCTAGGCTTATTTTCACCGAATTCCATCTCTATTTAATACTGTTGAATTCTATTTCCAGACCTTAAAACCAAAACTATGCCCACATCTAAAAACTTTTGTTATTTAGTTACTCGGTTTGTCTTCTTAATTAAAGCATTATAGCAAACCACTACACATTTTTCAACTTAACGAGAAAAGGAAAAAAAAAAGTTTCCGAGTGCGGTGGAAGATAGAAGAGATTATTATGTGCGGTGTCCAAACGCTTCAGAAGGTCAATTCGGACACGCCATGTCATCCAATGCACTGTGCATAGTGCATTGGCGTGTCTGGATTGGTCTACGGACACCACACGTAATAATTTTTCAGAAGATAGAGTTCAGTACCAATGCAGTTTAAGAATTCAGGAAGTTTAGAAGACTTAAGATATAGGAAACTTTATGGAACAAAAAATTTTCCTCAGGAGCATATGGTTCCTGCTTTTCAAATGGGACCAGATGTAACAATAGAATAGTTCTGCATGGATCAATTCTACTATATTGAAAAGAAAAAGTTGTTCCACAAATAACTTTCGTGAATAATTTAAATGTAAGTGTTGGCCTTAGAATTGACAATAAAAGTTGTGGAGTACAGGGTTCGTAGATACCTGAAGCAACACTGTCTCTTTTCTAAATGCTGTGAAGATTAGATAAGTTTGATTTTTTGTTCCCGAGATTCTAGATTCCAGAAAACAGCCTTATAAGGGTTGCCAAGGAACAACCTCACTACCATAAGAAGAGTTTGAAGCAGCTCCAGAACAAGAAGAAGGCCGTGAGGACCCTCAGGTAATAATAGCTTTTCTGCAATTATAAGACAACCAAGAAGCAAAGCCAACTGACAGAGAGTTGCTTTTGTAGTATAATATCTCAAGAAAGAGAAACAATTGAGAGGTAGGAGGCAGCAAATACTTTAATTATACTTCATGACTACACATTTTTAACTAATATCCCATGATTTCTCATGAGCAGGAAATGTATCATCTCAACCATAGTAGTAACAACCTCATTTCTTCTAGGGAATCCTTTTCTCCAGAAAGAAATTTGTATCTGCAAGCAGGAAATGGTCCAGGAGATTCACGACTATTTCTTTCAACTGATGCCAAGCCCAGACTAAAATGGACTCCTGAGCTCCACGAGCGATTTGTAGAGACTGTGAATCAACTTGGTGGGGCTGACAGTAAGTACATGAACAATAAGAGACTGATACGTAAATATTGTTTCTACAAGGTGCAAAATTCTAATTTAGTTGACTAATATAAATTTTCTCTTATAGAGGCGACCCCTAAAACAGTCATGAGGCTTATGGGTATCCCAGGACTAACTTTATACCACCTTAAAAGCCATCTTCAGGTAACTAGTAGGCTTGAATTCTTTGCTAACTGAATTAGAACGTGAAATTTTTTTCTCGACTTAACAGAAGTATAGGCTCTGCAAAAATCTTCAAGCTCAAACTTCTAGCCGGACAGCAAAGAATGGTAATAATGTTATGAAACAATGAAGCTTCTATTCCAAAGCTTGTGAATACTATTGAGTTAGTTCAATTATTGTTGCCCGGTTATAGGTTCTGCAGCAGCACCAGACAGAACATCAGAAGGGAGCGGGTCCTTAGTCAACAACATCAATGTTGGCCATCATAACAACAAGTAGGCACCTTATGAAAGCTTTTAGTGAATGACTTACATGGATAAGATCAATAGATAAGTCTTCACCAGCATGTTTTTGACTCACAGAACACTGCAGATAAACGAAGCACTGCAGATGCAGATGGAGGTGCATAAGAGGCTAAATGAACAAATGGAGGTACTTGCTTTAGTGTTGTATAACTAGCAAGTTAAAAAATAGCATAATGCGCCTTATATTATTGCCAACAGCTAAATCTGTGCAAAATTAAAATCATCTCAAAATAGAGCTATTAACCAAAATCCACTTATTGGGGAACGATGGTAAAAAAGAAGATGAGATGGAGTTCATTTTAAGTTATGCACTTGGGACATACTACAACAACAACATCAAGCCTTTATCCCACTACGTGGGGCCTTTTTTTTTCCAACAAATTTTATGCTGGCTGTCGACTACCTAACGCAACCCTCCACTTTTCTCATCCAGGACTTGGGACCTGACAACGGGATGCATAAAAAATATAATTAACCCAGAGAGTCCTACAACAAAGAAACTCCTTATAAAGCCAATATTCCTATACAAAAGAAAAAAATCCTCCTATAGAGTAAAATATTAAGTCATTCAGGCTTCCTTGACACTAATCATATTAGTTAGACAGTGTAAATCAAATGGGAACTGGAGTTGGGCCTAATGCGTCAGTGATCAACTAACTTTTCAACTATATGATAAAAGATTAAACTCAACACTCTCATGAGTCTAAAATATTGACGCAGAATATAACAGTAACACAAATATTCATATACACGAATTTGGAGCTAAATAATTATTATTGTTCAACAAAGTATACTTGTGCACACTTAAAAATGGAAGCCTTCTTACAAATTATTCTTTGCAATCAAGTTCTTTGGTTCTTATTGATAGGCCTAAAATGGCAGAGACTTATCTCTACTACTTGGGGATTGCTCTATGACTACTCATTCTCTATTGATTACTACTGAGTCTTACTAGAGTAGTTCACTCTGTTTTGCTCAAGTCTTCTTGAACATTTTCTAAACATGTTACTCATCAAAATATGCTTTCTTTTTCTATTAACATAGGTGCAAAGGCACTTACAAATGCGGATAGAGGCTCAGGGAAAGTACTTACAGTCAGTGCTGGAAAAGGCTCATACGACTCTTGAGATACAGAACTTGGTTTCTGCAGGCCATGAAGTTGCTAAAGTGCACCCGGATGAACTAGTGTCAAAGGTTTCAAATGAATGTTTCACCAGTGGATTTCTAGGCTTGGGTGAGACGAATGGTATGGAAATCTTGCAAGGACACTCAGCCCAACTTGTTGACTGCTCAATGGATAGTTGTTTGACCTCATGTGAAGGATCACAAAAGGATGAAGACATGTATAATAAAAATATAAAACTGCAATGCTATCATAGCAATTTATCATCAAGAACGAAAGAAAAGCAAGAGGATGTCAGGTTTGAACAGATTAATTCAGGGTGGTGGCGTGGAGAATTGAATGGCCACAAAACGTTCTCTCAATCAAATGCTTCAGGAAATTGCACTTTACCGGTCTCTAAAGGCTCCAGTATCTTATCAATGAGCATTGCAAATCAAAGAGAGACAACAGAACGAAGCAAAACCTCCGAAACAAAGTGCAGGCAAATAGACAAATATAAATCTGATCTTGAAGGACCAAGTTATAAAAGAGCAGCAGTTCAACAAGAAAAATCAAAGAACTTTAATGACTTAGGAATGCCATGTGCAACAGCACAACTGGATCTAAACGCTCGTGATGAAAACAACGCTGCTCAAAACTGCAAAGAGTTTGATCTCAATGGTTTCAACTGGAGCTAATTCAGAAAATGTCAACCATTTGTATCGTCCTATGATGAATTAGTTGATAAGTATCAATGAATAATCTAATTATAGATCTTTTTTTACAGTTATATAAATTACTTATAAATCAAGGAGAATTGATTTAAGTTGTCACATATACAAGTAAATTATTTAAGCTCTGAGATGAATTGATGAGTGTGCAAATAGAGTTTCAAAGTCATTTAAGCGAATTTAATTGTCGTGATCTGACTCGGAGGCTCGAATTAACAAGGAAAAAACAGACGCTCAAGCTGGTTTAAAATTTCATCTGCTAAACTTTCTACAATGTATTGAAAGAGTCGCTACAACTTCAAATGCATTTTAATGAAACAAATATATTATAATTATTTCAACATATACTTTCTCTCAGAGCATCACAACTACGATACCGTTCTCTCTTTTACTTATTTAAATTATTTGAATAATACATGTATACATTTGCAAAATATAGGGGTGAGTCATAAGACATAACACAACTTGGTGAGCACGTTATGCTTTTAAAATACAATAATACAAGGCCTTTTGAATAATATATGTATTTGCTATAAATATAAAATAATTTTATTTAATAACATTTAAATTTAAAAATGATCATCAATTGTATCTTATGCACATATATAACACTCATATCCTATCTTAGCATTTTTTGCAACTCATACAACCGTTATAGGAGATACATCTAAATAGTATCAATTAAGATACTCTCTTTTTTATTTATTTTTTCAAACATTTTCCATTACGTGCGTGAATATGTTGTGTCCCCAATCAATATCATAAGAGAGTGTACTTTATCAGTCAACCTACAAATGCTAACATTCTATATAAATCATTTTATTAATATTTTCCATATCATTTCATACTTATATATAGCAATCATTATGTGACCTATGCCAAGTGACCTGACTATGATACATAATTCATATCATCAAACTCAACATGATCAATTATTTTAGTAGAGATAATTCATAGAGTAGGTGGAGAAGGTGGCGGCTTTTTTTAAGAGGAGCAACTCATAAACATCATCTTTAGTTGTGCCTTGCAACAATATAGTTCCTAAGCAATTGTCCTTCATATAAAAGGAGTGTGATAAAAATTTAATAGACATTATTAGTGGAGCAGGATTGTGAAACAAATATGAGGTTCTTTTTTATGAAAGGACACAGAACATTGCTTAAGGTTCAAGGGACACGATACATTATAAGGCTTTCAGTTACTCAAATGATTTAGCTACTCCTACTCTCCTCTCTCCTACCACTAAATTTAGTAGTTGAATCATGAGTGATTGAAAGCCTATACCATTATTAATTTGAATGCTTTTAGCAATAGGTTGCTTGGAGTGCATTGAGATATTTGATAGGTCAATTGTGACATGGTGCAACGCCCTGAGTCAATGAGTCACTCTACTTCAGATGGTGTGAGAGGGTAGTGAGAAGTTGAGGTAACCTAGGTTTAAAAAGATTAAATCGGGAATAGAGGCATTTTTTGTTAGCGAGATGAGGCACAAGCGTCGATGTGATTGAGGCGTAAGCCTGAAAACAAAAAAGATAAAAAATATATGAACTTACAAATAATTCATAAAAATGAATATATATATTTGATTCATCATCATAAAGATAAAAATTATAAATCTCAATATTAAATATAATTATAGAATGAAAATTTGAAATGAGATTCAAAGTAAACTCTCATATAGAATTTAAATACATCATAAAGATCATGATCTACAATGACCTCATCCTTACTTTCATATTCTTCATAATAGCCTTTATATGTAATACTTATATCATCCATGAATTTTGTCTCATTTTCATCTTCTAAATCTTCTTCAATAATAACTTTTTTTTAAAACTCCCCATATTAATTAACACTGGTTTCAATGTAATATAAAATAAAATAACAAATTAATAACACAATAAAATAAGGTTGAACTTCACTTTGCAACTTTCATTAAATTGATAATACGAAGTAGAAGTTATTATCAATTTAATAATCATTTTAATATTAGCTTTGATATCATCATTTTCCTCATCATCAAATGCATTCATTCATTTTCAATTTTAAATATTTCACTATTTTTTGCTATTATGCATTCTTCATTAAATAATATATCATTAACAACCAAAGCATTTATTTCACCAGCACCAGTTATTCATCTCTATAATTTAAAGTATTTATCTTTAAAGTTTTTATTAAACATGTAACTAATTGGATCATACTCTTTGAATAATAGAATTATATATATAATATAATTCGACGATCCCACCTAATTGGATAAAGGCTTGATATTGTTGTATTAATAATAATGTATAATAAAAAAGTTATAAAACTTATCAGCATAAGACAGTACCTCAAAATGCCTCGAGGCGTATGTCTTATTTAAAAATATGTAAGCCTCGCTGTCACTAGTGAGGTTTAAGCCTTAAGGCGCTCTTTGTGTGACTCAGTTTTAGGCATGCCTCAATGCGTGTGCCTCGAATGATTTTTTTAAGGGATTTTTACATACATAACACTTAAAAGTTCCTTATTTACTCATCTAACACCTAACGTTATCTATTTACACACCTACCACTTAAAACCTATTTTACTTTCTAAAATATCGTTCCCTTTTCCTCCGTCAAAACCCCATCCCATACTGCACGATGATGGTTGTTTTCGTGCGAAACTCATTTCTTTGGCTCTTGTTTGAGCAGCTCCTCTTCTCCATTCCGTCGAACGCCGAAACTCATCTACTTTCCCGTCGAAACGCCGTCCACCTTCTCCAATTTGGGCGATCATCCAGACGGAGCTGAATCGCTTCTGAGAGAAAACATGTCAAATTCTTTTAAATACAAGGTAATCCAAGAACCTGAGTGTGGAATTTTATTAATCAAAACTCAATTGTAATTGTTGGCAGATGGCATTGGTTTCAGAGAAGTTTTGATCATCAGTAAACTTTGTTAATTAAAGAGTTCCTCTGTTCTGAAAATTTTGGGAAGTTTGGTAACCAGAAAGAGCAGATTACTGAGTTTGAATTACCTGAGCGACTACAGAGGACGAGTCTCCTTTGTAAATGGTGTAATTCTTCTTTCTGTAACTTCCTGTTACCCTAAAATCGTAAGTGTTCTCTTCTGTTTTTCCCCCAAGATAGACGAACCACTCATCATAAAACTGCAGAAAAGAACTCCTCATGATGCTGAACACAAGATCTTTCGCCTTCATGCTGTCCCCCATAAACGCCTGCCACCTGCCGTGCCAGGTTATAAACTGAAGAAGAAGAAGAAGAAGAAGAAGAGACTGTATGTGAGTCCATTAGAAGAGGATTGAGAGCTAATTAACAATAAAGTTCTTACCTTTGGCTTCATCGTAAGTTCAGTATATCCAGCAGCATCCTGGAGCTGGGTGAAACCGCCCAACCAGTAGTGTTTGGTTTTGAAGATGGTGTTTCCGGCGGCGTCGACGGTAGCGAGGTACCATTTCTGTAGTGGTTTTGTTTTGAATGCAAGATCATCGTGCGGCAATCAGGTGAGATTTTGACGGAGGAAAACGGAGTGGTATTTTAAAACTTAAAATAGGTTTTAAGTGGTATGTGTGTAAATAGACAACTTTAGGTGTTAGATGAGTAAATAAGAAACTTTCAAGTGTTATGTATGTAAAAATCGGCGATAACATGAGAGGAGAATAGATTGTATTTAGTCTTGGTTGTTGCATAAATGTTGGTGCATGAGTGAAGTTGAAACTGTCATGATGAGTAGTTAGAGGCGGTGAGTTTGATTTTTATATTGGTGTTGATGAAGATGAGAGTTAGATATCAATCAAAACGGTTGAGAATGATACAAGCATTAGGATTGTTATATTGTATTTATCATTTTGTTGACATTATTTACAGATACAAACAAATGTAAGAAAATAACGTGTATCGATAATGTAGAGACAAAAATCAAGATAAAACAAAAAGGAAGGCTGGTTATTCATTTCGTTTCTCCAATACCCGAATCTCCATTCACCCAAAGGGCACACACAAGGTACCTGAAAGATGAGAACGACTGGATGCGCCATCTTCTTGAGACTAGTTCCAGTTCCCATTGATCTTGCCCCGATTCCAGAGACCACCTTCCCCTCGAACTATAATATCAGATGAATCAGCTTAAAAATACTGTAGAGTAGGAACTTCAATTAGGGGCAGCGAGATAAAGCGAAGGGCTCCCCGATCAACGGCAACTACCGGAAGACGAAATGCTCGCGGGAAATTTGACTCCATATGACTCATTTCACTCAAATTAAGATAAAATATGACCTAGTTTGAAATTATTATTATTTTTATTACGCAGAATATTTTTTATGGCCTATTTGAAATAAAACTAATTTAAATAATTCAATTTTTGTTTGAAATTAATTTGAATTAAATTTAGGCTTTTTTTTTGTTGCTTTTAAAAGCAGCTTTCTAGTATAAAAATTAGAAAGTTGCTTTAATAAGCAACAAAAAAACCGTCACAAATGAAGCCTTAAAATTTTCTTCTACTTCACATACCGTCAATCCTATGAGTAATTATTCTGTGCAAATGACGAACACCATTCATAGCCCAATGAAAATGCGACACGTCTCTCAGTACCGAGTACTAAGGCTCGATACCGATCGGTATCGGATGACGTGGCACATTTTCATTGGGCTCTGAACTTTAGCTATGTCTGATGTCCACACAAAATAATTTACCCCTCTACTCAATGCGCTTTGGCTGTGAATTTTACTTCTTCTACACACATCATTGTTCTCAAAATATCTCATAGCAAGCTCCTATCATGAAATATTATTCATTGATGCTTATGTTGATGCCCTCCGTAAGCTCTCGTCACAAAATATTGTTTTCCTTCTCACATCATTCCTCCTTCATTGGAACTTTTATTTGGTTAGGTGACCTGACGTAGTTCTATGTTTGGAAGCCAGTAAAATAGTGCCACATGTTTTATCACGACCCAACCCGACCGGAACAAATCCCTTCGCATCGGGCCGCAACAAATGATGAAAATCCAGGATCTAGTTTTGGAATTTACTTCAGAACTTTCTTCCAAATATTCGAACAAACAGAAACACATAGCTGCTATTAACTCCAATATATACAGAATTTCATCTATCATTTTCTTCTTTCTTTTATCAAAATAATCATGTACAATACAGTGCATGGCTACAGACAGAAATAACAGAACAGAAAAGTCATGACTGTACAAAAATAAAAAATACAAAAATACCCAATCACTGATCAGACACTGAATGGCTAATTCAAGATTTCCTTCTCTTTCCCAGAACCTGAAAACCACGCAGAAAACAAGGATGAGCTAACAGCTCAGCAAGACTACACTCACCAATCAAAATCTCCAGAAATTTTACTTCAGAAAATACATCAGAAGTAGTTATTCAAATAGTTGTACAAAGTTCAAACAGTCGTATAGAAATCATATAACAGACAGAACAGATACTTGATCAAATAGAAATCAAATCACATATACATGAATTCAAATCAGAGTGCAGAACAGATCTGATAAAACATATAAAACTTTCAAATCACAGAACGGATCGAATCGTACAAATCAGAATTCAAATCAGATAAAATCATATTTCATATATCACATATCACATATCACATATCAGATTTAGATATCAGATATCCCTGTCCCAGATAGAATCTCAATAGATTTTGACCCCTTATGCCTCCCTTCCCTGACATAGACAAAATCTCAACGGATTCTGACCCCTTATGCCTCCCTTGTGCTTATAGCACCAGAACATAACATATATACAAAAATTTCAGAACAGAACTTGTTTTCTTTTCAGATTGCCCTGACATAGACAGAATCTCAAAGAATTCTGGCCACTTATAACTCCCTTCTGATATCACCGCACATCAAAGCATTCAATTCAGAAAATCAGATTTCGTTAGAAAAATCGTCAGCGGCATAACGACAGTATACGGAATTTATACAGAATTCATATATTCAGAAATTTACCAAATTACCACAGATAGTACCAAACATCATTCTAAGACTTTTATTGTACTGAAGTAATAATTTCAGACATCCAGATAAATTGTTATTCGATCAAAACCCCGTAGAATTCAAAATACCCGATAAAAATCTTCCATAAAATACTCAAAACGTGCACAAATATCATATCATAAACATACCAAAAGTTACGCGGTAAAACTTTTATCAGTACAAAATAATACCATAATTTCATTAACGGAATCAAAATTCGAAACAGAAAAAGCGTCAAAATCCTTATTTCTGAAAATTGAGAAAGGCAGAATGTGCCTTACCTCGAGTCGGTCAACTTTCTCAACTGCAACTACGGACGGAAATGGACAGAAGTCGCCCAAAAATCACTTTTTCTTCTTTTTCCTTCTGTTCTCTCTCTCCTGCCATTTTCTCTCTCTTCAAAAGATCTCAATCCCATATATATCCAACCAGATCGTCCCGAACGATCCCAAATCGTCTCGGGACGATTTGCCCACTTGACGAATTTCGTTCAGACGAAATAGTTATCGTTCCCGGACGAGTTGCTCTCTGGAAAAATTTCGTACGAACGAACCTCATTTCATCCTGGGACGAATTTCTCTATCCCCAAAACCTGTACAAACCTGTACCGATCGTCCTCGGACGATCCAACTTCGTTCTGGATGATCCTGGAAGGAAAAATAGCTTTCACATGTTCTTACTCTTTACCGCGTGGCCCGACAACCTGACCCAGAACAGCCCCGGGATTGTTATGTTTGCGTATTGCTAGGTATTACTCGGTATTGCTAGGTATTGGTCGATTTTGCTCGGTAATAACGAGAAATACCATTATGTGAAGACCAATACCGAGTATTGCTCGGTATTGGTCTTCACATAGCGATATTTTTCATTATTGTCAAGCAATACCTAGCAATACCGAGCAATACCTATCAATACCAAGCAATACCTAGCAATAACGAGCAATACCTAGCAATACACATGAACATAGCAATCTTTGGGTTCCGGTCCGGGTCAAGTCTTCGAGCCGCATGGTAAAAAGTAAGAGTACGTGGCGACATGTTATTGGAGTCCGAACGTAGAGCTACGTCAATACACCTTACCTAATAATTGTTCCCTTCATAGGCCACCATTGGTGAACATCAACCCAACCTTAGGATCAAAGTAGATTCAAAAAAGTTTGGAAAGTTGTATCCTAATTCATATTAACCAATTTTGAATGACTTAGGTTTTGTTTTAAATGGCTTTCTAACTGCTTCTTAAAATAGTTTTTTAGTGCAAAAATTTTAATTTGTATACTAAAAAGCTATTTTAAGAAGCAGTAAAAAAGTTGTCCCAAAAGAAGTCTTAGGCTTGATTTGAGATAGCTTTCTTACTGTTTTTTAAAGCAATATTTTAGTACAAAAATATTTTGTTCTAGATATTTTTGTACTAGAAATGTGCTTTAGAAAGAAGTAAAAAAGTTGTCCCAAACGAAACCTTAGGCTTGGTTTGTAACAGCTTTTGGTTGTTGTCTTTTCGTTGATTTTTTTTTTAATTGTATTATAAAATTATTTTAAAAAAAAATTATTCCAAATAAAACTTTAGGCAATTAGGATTATTCAACAAATTAGCATTGATTTCTAGGTAATTAGTCTCGAGGTCTTCCAGGGATCCAGGGATCATGGCGACTGTTTGCTCCAGATCCAGGATAGTCCAGGCTTTCAAATTCCATTCTTCTTTTCACAAACTCTTCTTCTTCTATGAACATCTCTCCATCCAAAGCCTGTAACAAAAAAAAAAAAAAGGAATAATAATATTTTTATGAAGAACTTGGAGCCAAGTGGAACTTTTGCTAGAGGAATATTTCATCCTAGTTAACAAAGAGCGTTTAAATTAAATTAAGAGATTAAGGCTTCGTTTGGGACGTTTTTTTGGCTGCTTCTTGAAGCAACTTTCAAGTACAAAAACTTCAACTTTTGTATTAAAAAGCTGTTTTAAGAAGCAGTAAAAAAACCATCCCAAACGAAGCCTAAGACTTCGTCTGAGACTATTTTCTTATTGCTTCTTAAAGCAACTTTTTAGTAAAAAAATTTACTAGAAAGCTGCTTTAAGAAGTAGTTAGAAAGTTATTCCAAACAAAGTCTAAGGACTCATTTGGGTCAGCTTTAGATCACTGTTTTTGCTCTGCTTTAAAAAAACTTTTGTATTAAAAAACAATTTTAAGAAGCAATAAAAAAGTTTTCCCAAATAAAACCTAACTAATTAAGAGGTTTAAATAAGTTGGGTTGAGCTATTCAGACTCATTTGAGCTTAAACTTGGCTTAATTAATTAGCTTGAGTTAGAACTTGAGCTTAATGCAATGAGTTTGAATTAGCTCACATGTTGCTCTCTTTTGTAGCCATAATATAAAGCATGAATGTTCTTGATGAGATGAGTCGAGTCAGGATTAGTTTAAGCTATGTTTAATGACTGATCGAGCTTGACTCGTGAGTTGTTTACCAAGCAAGGCTCATTTGTGCTTAAGTTTTACTCAATTAGTTAAGCTTTTGCTTGAGAGCATAATATTTATTTGATGAGTTCATCAAGCAATCCCAATTTATTCTATGAAAGCTAAGATTTAAGTCATTTATATGTATATTTTTTTATGGGTCATGTTAGAATTAGGCTAAGCAAAGTTCATTTATAGGTCAAAATTGACTCGTAAGCCGTTTAGCAAGCACACTCAATTGAACATAAATTTGACTCATGTTTCGTTTGGGATGACTTTCTTACTACTTTATAAAGCAAATTTTTAGTACCGAAATTTTGTAAAAAAAAGAAAAAAATAGTGGCCAAAAGCTATCCCAAACAAATCCTCAATTATCTAAGCTTGAACTAAAGATGATAAGCCATCACATTTCCTTACAGAATACATGATATAAAGTATTTATGTATATTTCTAAGAAAAGAAGTTGGGATTAATAGTCCAAATTAAGCTCACTGACTAACTATTTGAGCTTGAATCATGAGTCGTTTATCTATCTATGCTTATTGGAGCTTAAACTTGGCTCAATTGATTGATTTTGAGCTAAAGTTTGAGCTTAATTCAACAAATTCAAGTTAGATCACTAGACACAATTTCTTTAAAATGAAAGCCATTACAAAAAGCATTTTATATGCATAAACTTCAGGAGTCGAGTTAGGATTAACCCTAGCTAAGTTTGCTCGTAGGTTAATTGTGACTCGAGTCGTTTATTAAGTCACACTCATTTGAGCTTAAACTAAGCTCAACAATTTGAGCTTGAGTTTAATTAAAACTTAAGCTTCGTTTGAGACTATTTTTTATTGCTTCTTGAAACAACTTTTTAGTATAAAATTTTTAAATTTTGTACTAAAAAACTGTTTAAAGAAACGATAAGAAAGCCATCACAAACGAAGCCTTAATTCAACAAATTCGAATCATTTCTCAAAACCATCTCATTTTATTATAAAAGTCATGATATAAATCATCATATGTGCACACTCAATGAGTCAAATCAAGGTCAACATAAGCTCATTAAATTCATTGGTGGGCTAAGTTTAACCCATGAGCTTGAGATTTAGATTAAAGATTAATTAAACTTATTCGAACCAACTCAAGAGACATCTTTTTTTTTTCCCTAAAGTCACCATTAGCCCAAGTTAGATTTATTGCTCGACTCATGAGCCGTTTATCATACAACACTTGTTTGAGCTTAGGCATTACTACTCAATTAAGCTTCGTTTGAGACTGTTTTCTTACTGCTTCTTAAAGCAGTTTTTTAGTACAAAAAATTAATTTTTTACTAAAAAATTACTTCTAGAAGTGATAAGAAAACTATCTCAAATAAAATCTAAGTGAACTCTAGCTTAGTTCAACAATTCCTATCAGCTCACAAGTCATCTCATTTTCTTGGGATAGCAAACATTTAACTAAAATCATTTAGAGAGAGATTGAGAGAGATAGAGAGCTGGGACCTTATTTTCCCCTTGTGTTGTTGCTGCTCCATGATTCATGACCACATAGTTTCCAGCTAATTAGCAAATCCACAGAAAAGTAAATCAGTACAGATGAAGTAAAACACTCAAAGAACAGTGTTGCATATAGCTCTTGAAACTGAACCTAAGTAGAGAAGACAAGAGAAAAATAGAAGCAGTGCCATAAGCTGAAGAAACAAAGCTGTCTTCTTCTGATCCATATATCAAACGGCCAGAAGCTTCTTCTTCCTCAAAGGCAATGAAGAGGCTTTGATGCTTATAATGAGCACAGAGAGAAGGAGAGATAGAGAGAGAGAGTTATGCCAATATCACATAGTCAACTTACGTTTTATTTAACTTTGAGAAACGTGTACCTGTCTGATCTAACTTTTTCTCCTCCTTTCTAACTGTATGGACACTGACTCCACATGATGGTGCTTTAGAACCTAATTATGTCACGGGGATCTCTCCCAATAGGGCTCTAATGCTGGTGGATTCAACAATATATTTATGAAATATCTATATGAATTTGTATGTTTATATTATATTAGAATTATTTATATATAATTTTTGTGGTAAGTATTTTTAACTTCTTTAGTTTTGTTGCGTCATGGAATATTTGTGATGGTAGAGATATATGAAGTTTAGCATCTTAACTTTGTATGAAAATCCACCACACAAACAGATAAAAGAGTATTATGCATCATGCATATGAGACATCATAGTTTTATATGAAAAACCTTGAAAATGGGGGAAACTATGTGTTCTTGCCTAGTTAAAATGATTCAAATAGTAATGGTGATTGATTACAAATAATGCCCACTCTTCGATGAGGGTTTTGGCTTATATCACATTACATAGTTGGAGGTTGTAATAATAGCTGCTCTTAAGAGAGTGTTGGCCTATTCGTTTGAACAATAATATGATCATAGTCGGCGAGCAACAGTGGTTGGAGATACTGTAGTTGATCGGTGACGGTGGTCGAAAGGATTGTAGTATGCAGACGACGGTGGTTGGAGGGATTGTAGATTTGTAGTCGGCAGACAATAGTGATTGGAGGGACTATAGTCAATAAGCAATGGTGGTCGAAAGAACCATAATCGATTGGCGACAATGGCTGAAAGGAATGTAGCTAGTGAGTGACAATATTTGGGAGGGGATTCATCGATCGTCGGTAGTATCTGAGAAGAATTCTAACGATAGTTGGAGAATGGGTGAAAGTCCAATCACTAATTGTTGTCTTGTAGAACTCCAACTGTTGTAGCGTTGGATGAAGAATGTGGGCTATTTATAATTTGGTGGCAGTGACATGACTATTAAATATGGAGAAGATCAAGGGTATGTTGGGAGTGCTCCATCGGACGATTAATATTGATTTTTTTAATCATTGAGCTTTTATTCAACATTTTAAGTGCCCTAGTGATGTTAAAATTATGTAATCTTGGGCTTGTTGGATTCGCCTCGTTGAGCCACCTGATTTAACTATAAGAATGTCATATTCGTATATCGTTTGGTCATCTAATTAATGCTTTGAAGCTTCCACGTTTGCTTGGTGTCATCATGTTCGTTTCTTTGGGATATTTAATTTGACTACAAGTTTGCTTAAATAGGTGTTTGAATGTTCCCGAATTTAATTTTGAAAGTTTTCGATTCATATTTGCATTGAGCTTTGCGCCCGATCAAGATAATTTCTTGGTGACATATCAAGCTTTAAAATTTCGGTTTGCCAATAAACATGATTTGAGTTTAATCTCATTTAAATTTCGGTTTGCCAATAATCCCATATTATTATCTACCTCATATATTTTTTAAGCATATATATATTTACACATTACAAAAAATTAAATAGTTAGAACGAAATTTAAATATTTTTGACATGCTTAAAAATATTAAAAATTTATTAAATAAAAATATATAATTATTCTCATAGGATTAAAAAATATATGAGGTAGATAATAATATAGATATATAATAAATTTAATGTCTCAAATAACATTAAATTTAAATCAATAAAAAAACCATAAAATCAATTCTGAACAATTAAGCTACGACTAATAAGTAGTTCATCTTGATATGTTGATTGCGAGCTTTGACTATTAACCAAGAAGTCATAGATTCGATGTTTTTGTTATGCGAAATTGTGAAAAACAATACAAATCGCACAACCAAACAAAAAGAACACGATGCGATTTACGTGCCTACATCCATGAAGGGAGGATTTCACTATATTGTGAGGAAATACTATTACAATTGACTTTCTTGGCTTACAACAGTCCT